GTAAATAATGACATATCGTACTTTAATAAGTAGCTTGAGTAATCTGGTTAGTTATGCTTTCTGAATGTTCTGTATAACTGATTAAAGCACCACTTTTCTGATCACCTAAATGACCCTCTTTTCGTCATATTGTCGGTGTATAACGCATGCAGTGCTATAACGTCGCTGATACTATTTTATGTAGTATCTTCTGAGGAACGACTCTTGTAACACTTTACGATTGACCTAGGAATATCATATGCTTTGTGATTTCTAACATTTTTTTTCATAGATATCGGCCTTTACACAATAGGCTAGAGAACCGTAAATTGTTTTCGAGAAGAAGATTCCGGCCTAACCTTTAGGGCCGGCCTTAGTTGTTAGATAATAGATCTTTGTTAGCCGCTTGTGTATGCAAGAAATGCCATAAAGACTCAGACCAATTCCATTGATTAATAACACGTAATGTCGTATACTTCTCCGACTGGCAGCTTTGCACAATCCAACGGGGCTCTTGCAACGGCAGAGTAGCGTGTCTATATTAGTCGTAGAATTTTGCTACGCTAGAATAAGCTAGAAAAAAGCTCCATTGACCCATTCAACCGATCGATCGATCGATCGATTTGTTGATCGATCTGCTTAGCCAACATGGAATAAGTGCAATCGATCTGTGCTGACGGTCATTCTGAACCCACAAACTTCACAGTGGCCGCTGGTCTTGAACCGTGTCATTTAGATGGCTCAGTTAGTTGTACGTCGTTTTACTACGTAACCTTGTAGCTGTTGTCGTGATAACGCCAACAGTAGCTAAAGTGAAGCATCGTCGAACACAGTTGCTAAAGCCACCATCAGTGACCGCCACATATAGGGCAGCACTATCGAGCTGGCTGTTTTAGGAGAACGTCTGATTCATCGTTTCACCTGCTGGCTGTTCAGGCAGATGATCGGCGTCGTTCAGCTCCCGTTTCTGTATTTGTTGATGTTGTTTATCTTTGTTGACGACGACTCACTAACAAACTGGTTGACTACATTTACCTGCTACGGAGCGGTGTAGCTCTTCGCATTTGACAAAATCGGAGACAAACTACCCTATCAGTAACCTGGGTCTAGAAGTAGTATCTATATGTGACTGCTTGCTCGTTCGATCGTTGGTCCGCGAACCCAGATGTTCAGCTCACCATGGGGAAATCTCCTGAACGTTAACGAAGTGGCGCTACTTGCAAGCGACAACGATCTACAGCCAGCTAGGCTCCTATTTACTGCCACTGCTTCTGGGACGATGACGCAAACGCTTTCGGCTAAGTGGCTAAATGCAGCCAAGTACCCAGCCAATATCTTAGCCGTCGATGTCCTGCTTATTACGGCCTGTGGGACTCACGTCGCGTCGCTACCGGCACAAGTCTTTGGCGTGTTTTGTCTTCTGCCGGTCTACCGCTGCGCATGTGTGACGCGTGTTTTTATCTGGCCACTACTGCTGCTTCGTCATTTTTTATCCAGCCGCTCTTGCCATTGCTCCTATTGCTGTTTCATTGGCGGTCATCAGCTTTGGTGCAAGACAGCCACTCCTGACTGGACCCTGTTGTTAATGGGATGACAACGAATACCCCCCAATTGCCCTTGGATTTAAAGAAACGCTCGACATAATTGCCGGGTTATCGTTTTTGCTCTTTTGTTACACTGTATATTTCTCTACTATACGCTGACAATGTTCGCTGAGCGACCTGCTAAGTCTTGTCACTGGTCTACTTTTTATCAGCAGCGAGACTTTTTGCATTTGAAGTTGTCATCATATTCATATCAATCCATTGTTGTTAATAAATTCGTTTTGGAGATGGAAACAAATTTTGTGTACATAGTTAAGTATATGAAAAATGTGAATCGATGCACACACTAAAACGAAACTAATACGATTTTTTAGGTAAGGCAATTGATGAATCTCTAATTATATGTCAAAAGGTGCTGATCCATACGAAAAGACGCCATGTTGAATTTGAACGTGGCTTTGTAACAAAAGGTGTCCTGGGTAGTGATCTCCTAGCAGCGGCTACTGTTCTAGAAGAAATGGGTTACTGCTTTCTACAGAGTCGAGAGGATGCTAATCACAATGTTCGTCATTAAAATTTAGCTGGATAGAAGGCGTGCTCATGAATATCATTGGCCGCTTCATGAACTGACTGAAGCTTATACCACCACAGACATATTAATAAAAGCTTAAGTAGATTAGGCCAAGGGGAGCGATACGTGGGAGAAATACTGAGAGACTAACTTAATACGCATTTACCCGGACTAAAGACTACCGCAACTAACGATTTCACCTATACGATGAAGGTGGTTTATTGGTAGGTAGTAGACTAGGAGCCAACTGAGGAAACATGGTTACGGTTCCTTATTTTAATGGGTTGTCGATAGACCTCTCAGATTTCCTATATGTTATAGGTCTTAGTTCCTATATAAATGGTTTGTTTGGTGGACAACCTTTGCTATGAGGACAGGACTGACAGGCCTAAGGCGGTCGAATAAGACGAATACCACCGACCTTTAGAAACCGGGCGGAGTTTTTTTCACAAAGAGCGGGAAATAGTTGTGACTTCTCAGGGGCATATATGTGAGCACATGGATCTTTGTAACAAGGAAAACTAGTACTTTTAAGAACCACCGTTAGCATTAATTCTACAAGTCTCTATTTGTGATGTATAGGCGCAGCAAGTGGGCGCATAGTAGCTCTAGAAAAAAACTAGTATCCTTTCCGATTGTTCGATACTGTGAACCGATCATTGTTTTCATATATTAACGAGCTTAGAAGCCATCGAGAATCTGGTAGCAACACTTTTAAAAAGTGTCGGTGTCTTTCTTTCTCCAAGCATTTCACGCTCGCGTTTAACTCCCAGTTTAAAACACTCATGTTAAAAAATGCAGAGTTTTCTATAGTGACAAAACCTCAAACTTCTGCAGACACTCCCGCTCGACCACGGACTGATATAATGACACTGAACAGTTTTGCTGGTGGGCAATAAAGATGGTCAGCTATGGTACCAGCAGTGAATGCGTCAGCCTCTGGTCATATTGTCATCTAGCTTATATAACGTAACCTTTTACATTTAGCTGGCTCAACAACCAATGAAATGTTCAGAAAGCAATATTGGATTTTAAAACCTAGAACGATGCTGATACAATGACAACGATGATTTTGGCCCCAATGCCCTTCGTGCCTGACTGTCTGAGGTAAATTCTGAATTCTTTATCCGAAGCTGGTCGATTGAAGCACCTCGCGCTACGGTCACACGACTAAGCACAAATGAAATTACTGTGTCTATGAATAATACCAGCGTTATGTCAATTGCCACATTGGGAAATATTTACTTGACCTGATCCTACATAGAGAGCTGATCTTTTACTTCGGGTAGACATCAAGCAGTTCTATCCTCTAATCGCATGATGATTCCACCCGGGACTCCCAGAATTCGACCCAATCACGTTGTGACGAAATCCGCTAAAAAGGAAACGCAACTAGCAGCAACACCATTTGGTGATATCTGTTGTTTTTGACCGAAACACATTTTGCTGGCGTCATTAATTGATGTTCAACAACTTCGGCTGACAGACTTCAACTTCAGCGTGCTGTCTTTCATTCAGCCCCTATCATTCATTCAGGTTCAGTAGCCATAGTCGAAGAAGGGACGTGGAAGTTTATCCTTCAGATTAGGACAAGAAAAAAAAAGTTGAATCAAACGCGACTATCGAACGAAAAGGGTCCTACACTAAAGGAGGTTGTAACTTTCGATGCTTTGCCACTACTCTATCCAGCCCCGATGGTGGTAGTTATTGTAAGGACAGAGCCAGACAGCTGCGAGCACAATGCAGTTCGATGTCAAAGATCGTTCTATTTTGGACTACTTGAGCATGACTGTTACCAACAAAGAGGACAAGAACAAAGAGATATTCGATGTGAAACAGTTTCATATTTAACCTGACAAGCATTTGAATTTCGTCCTACAAAACACTCTATTTAGGACGGGCCGTGATCTGAATCAGTCCGACCAACTTGCGGCAACTAAGAAGGGTCGCTCAAATGCAGCCATCAACCTTACTTATCTTAATCTCACATTATAGTTATTGGTAGCTCAAACTGGATGATTAAGGACATTTTAACGCATATATGGGGCTGCAGAAAGTTTCGCTTTCGGCGGTATATTTGCCTATCCAGTTGGTTGTTACAATTCACGCAGAATAGGTTAGAGGACTTTGACTAATTGGCATACCCAGACTTATATTTCAGAGGATTCATATTCATTGTATATTGATGATCAAGTGGCTTTTAAAGTTTAGTGACTTTTACTTATTAGGACGCTAATGCTTAGTAATTTATTAAATTCACTTACCATGCAATGACCACTTTGTCGGACCACAATCGTTGAAATACTAACCGGATAAAGTTGTCATAAAAACATAGTAGATTAACACACCCAGTGCAAACGATTCCAGTATTTCATTTCCCGTGGGTTATTGCGTACTACTTTCGTATTATGATTTACCATTACTTTAAATCCTTACCCTCTATTTTAGCAAATTCAACCATTCCTTGTGAATTTGAAATAAAAGATTAAATTTTCACTGTTACACGTATTTTTATGTACAGCATCGTGTTAAGATAAGTGTACATGACAAACCCGGTAACGAGCTCTCAGACCTATCTGTTCTCTAACCCAGCCGCGAGTTTTTCGACGATATCCTTAAATTGCAAACTAGAATCTCGAATTGAAAGCTTTCTGCCAGCTGTAATTTTTTTTACCGTGTAATTTCTAACACAAGCACAGGCCATTTTTCTATGGTTTTCTTTTAAATATTCGGCAATATTACGCGCGTTTCACTTCATAGATATAATACTCCCTCCTAAAGAAGATCTTATATTCACCTAGCTGAACTTTTCACAGCCCGGTCGTCTAAAACTGTCTTCCCATGTCCTAGAGTAATTGTTTATATTAATCAAAGAATAAGCTTTATAATCAATCATTCGCTTGCAGGTCAATGTACGGGTTACGACGATGGACGCGGAGCTGGAGTTCGCGATCCAAGCGTCAACTACAGGAAAGCAACTCTTCGATCAGGTGAGTGATGCCCAGTTATTGTGAATTTTCAAAGATACATTTGAGACCTTGCGGCTGCAAACGCTCCTAATTTCAATTCATAGCGACGTCTTTGAATTTCGTAACTCTAATAGAATATTAATGGTTTTTATGGAATAAGCCGTTGGTTGCGAAATCATAAGATAACATAGTCATTCATTTAAAAAAAATAGGAGTAACAGGTAATAACTCAACAGTAGAAAGTAACTGTTATAATAGTGGGATCTTCCCTTTTGCGCATTTTTGTTTATCACCTACTGTGCTTTTCGCTTGATCCTAAATAGGTAGTGAAAACTATTGGCCTTCGAGAAATTTGGTTCTTCGGTCTGCAATACACGGACACAAAGGGCTGCACTACTTGGCTCAAGCTCAACAAGAGGGTCCTTTCTCAAGATGTGAAAAAAGAAAATCCGCTCCTTTTCAAGTTCCGAGCAAAGTTTTTCCCTGAAGATGTCGCCGATGAAATTATTCAGGAGATCACACTTAAACTGTTTTATCTTCAGGTCAGTTATCATTTGACTTTCTTGTTTATTATGATTTTCCGTTTTTTTTTTTTATGCATGACTATGTCGTATTGATTAATTTGCTATAGAAAGTTGTTTCGAAAAATGGCATGCACCATAAAGTATAGTACGATCTGGCTTTAATAACGCACGTGTGTTCAAAATGTTGTAGTTTTTAGTTAGACGTACGTTCCAATTAAGGCGCGCATATGTTTTAAATGAAGATGTCAATCTTTTCGAAATATTTTTCATTGAATCAAACGACTTTAACCTTTGTAACGTCACCTGCCCGCTTGCTCTGATTGTTTAAAACAACGCAGGTTAAAAGTGCCATCCTTACTGACGAGATCTACTGCCCACCAGAGACATCAGTACTCTTAGCATCATACGCTGTGCAAGCTAAGTATGGCGACTATAATTCAGCGATGCACACGGAAGGATGTCTCGCCAATGACAAGCTTCTGCCCCAGAGAGTTATCGAACAGCACAAACTAACAAGGTAAACATACAACAAAAATACGATGTGAAGGGGAAAAAAACAGTTCTCAATCAATTTTTCAATACTATAAAAAAACGAACAGTAACTGATTGTTTTCGTAGAAAATCTATGTGTCATAGTGATGAAAGTAGCCGTTGACATTGGAAAAGGCTCAATGAGTCATGCTTACCTTGGCTGATTCAAAATTTTAGGGACATGTGGGATGAACGTATCACGAACTGGTGGATGGAGCATAAAGAGATGGCAAGAGATGATGCTATGATGGAGTACCTTAAAATTGCCCAAGACCTTGAAATGTACGGAGTGAACTATTTCGAAATTAAGAATAAAAAGGGTACAGACCTCTGGCTTGGCGTTGATGCTCTAGGTCTGAACATCTACGAAAAGGTACGGATATTGAAATGAAAAGACAAAAATTAGACTGACTAAAGGTCTTTTTGCTATACAGTTGCTTCGAAAAGTTCCAAACTGGAGTCTTCATTTAAGATTATATGTTACTGATGTTTCTTGCCCAAATGTTCTTCCTATATTACTGGTTGTATATTACTGGCGGAGAAAACTGGAACTATTATATTCTGCACGTAGTTTTCTAAAAAAAAAATTTGAAGGGTGTTTCTAATGATCTTCCTTTTGCATGTGTAGGACGATAAGCTAACTCCTAAGATCGGTTTTCCCTGGTCGGAGATCCGTAACATTTCATTTAACGACAAGAAGTTCGTGATTAAGCCGATTGATAAGAAAGCACCTGACTTTGTATTCTTCGCACCACGGCTCAGGATCAACAAGGTTAGTGACTGGGCATTATTTTGAGCTAAAACGGTCTTTAATTAAAATTATTTTCAACAAACATAACTTGATCACATACATTCAGTTCAAAAAGTAATTTTTTCCGAAATGCTAGTTACTGAGAGCTTTGTCAATCACTAGTCATCAATCAATAATAAGGAAAGCAATTGTATCAAGTAAATATAAACGAACGAGTCAGTGATTCATCCAGTTCTAATACAGCCTTGTTATTTAACAGAAGACCGTATATGCCTGAGATGTTTAGCTCAGTTTTAAGATTAACCTCTAGTCAAGAACTAACCTCTTGAATTAGAATGCTCTTGCTCAATAATGTATTTTATAGTTGGACATTTGGCAATAAAATGTTCTATAGAACCTTAATCGGTAACAACTTAGACGATTAATGTGTTTACTTTTGCAGCGAATTTTGGCTCTTTGTATGGGCAACCATGAGCTCTATATGAGGCGCAGAAAGCCTGATACTATCGAAGTTCAACAGATGAAACAGCAAGCGGCCGAGGAGAAGACCTCTCGTAAACAGGTTTGTTTAATAAAAAGCTCCGTTAGCCACCCTTTTAGTACTGGCACGAAATTGGTAACGAACTAGTTTAGTTATAAGATTCTTATGTTACTAGTTGGAGTCTCCAGACCTAATGTTAACGACAATTTCCCTATTTTACTTACAGATACACTCTAAAAAACACATACTTGAAAATAACAGAAGTTCATATGTTGCTGAAAATGGTCACAGTTCGTAAACCTTTGCGTAATGGCTCATGGGAAATCATTGCAACAATCTTAAAACTTCTCCATTTCACCGCACTTCATATTGGCGGGTCTGTGCAGCAGTTAAAGCCAGTCGTAATGTAAATTAGTCCAATTGCGTTATGGGGAAAACTGATTTTCAGGAGCGTGAAAAGTTGAAAAAGGAGAGCGAACTTCGCGCCGAAGCGGAGCGAAAACAACAGGAGTACGCCGAGCGAATAAAGAAAATGCAGGCTGAAATGGAAAGGTAAGTGCAATTGGATTTTATGAATTTGTTTATTTGGTCGAGACATAGTTTTTATCGTTATGGATATGGAAACTTATTATTCATTTTGGTTTTCGTTGGTTCCGAAATTGAAGTTCTTCGAAGTTTCGGTCGGACTATTTAGCAACGCCTAATGTTGTAAACCGTTAGATGATTTTTTCAATCGAGTAATTTACAATTAAATAAATTTACATGTATCTTTGATTTCGTATCAAACGACCCGCCATTTCATTTCGTAAATTAGAATTGTTTAAAGCAACTGCTGCCATCGTCGGGCGCTTTGTTTGCAGGCATCAAAAAGAATTGATGGAGGCTCAGGACACGATCCGGCGTCTAGAGGAGCAGCTCCGCCAGGTTCAGGCCGCCAAGCAGGAATACGAAGTAAAACAGCTCGAGCTGCAAAAGATGATGGAACGCCTCCAGGATGAAAAGCACATGGAAGCCGATGCCAAGGCCAGACTCGAGCAGGAAATCAAGAGCAAGGCCGAAGAGGTTGAGAGCATTAAGCGTGTCGTTGAAGAAAAAGATGCTCAGACCAAGAAGCTCCAGGTGGAAGTCGAAGAAGCTCGACGCAAACAACAGGAGGTTTGTTTAGCAATTATTATGCATTTATTGTAAATTAACAACAGGTTTGTAACTAGTATCTGGCTGTGCTATGCGAACGCCGTGAGACCCCGTGTAGTAGTTCTAATAAAGTAATAATGTAGCATAAAAAAATTTCAGGTTTTAGTAGAGGCCGATGCATAGGTTGTACGGTAAACCCGCATGAGCTCGTTAATGCCCATACCTAATGCGCTAATAAGCACCTTTTGCGTATATTTTTATTCTAGATCTCGCTTGTACGTACGCGACGAGATCTCTAATTAGTCCAAATTCAACTTTAGGGATCGGCTCATCCTTCGATGTTTTCGACTGTTCTATATAAATGCAGGATTATTGAAATTGTTTGTTAATTAGCTTGCATATATAGGCGACTGTACTAAAGATTAAGTATTCGTTTGTGTTGACTTGCATTTTTATACCGTTAGATACGTATCTAACGGTATAAAAATATATATAGGTACGTAAAATAATAGGTGTCAATGAACCTGTGTTTATGGTTTATTTATACGCTAGGGAGTTACCAGAGAGAATCTTTCAAGGTTTTACTCAATCTCTTCTTGGAAGCATCGCTTGCCCCACAGCAAATTCGGATATCAAAAGCACCGTTTAGACGAATGTGGTGATATGTTCTAAATTTTTTTATTTATCTGTACATGTATCTCTCGACCTTCTTAAAACGTTAAATGTGTTGTCGTCAATAAAGAATGAAAACATTGCGGCATCGTTCGCTAGACAAACAGACGCTCTACATCTTCTGCAGATTTTATTTTGCATTTTTGTTTGCAAAATTAAATGATATAAATTTAATGTCCTAATGCTCATATTTGTATATTGCTAAATTACAAAATGGGAAATTTTCGAAATTTTCAATTTTCATTATCTCTGCTGGCTAACCAGCGTACACAGAAGTCAGCTGGCAGCATTAACCATCCATAGCATACAGCATAGAATAATACCAAGGATTTTTATCTTTTCGGCGGCGCGTTACAGGTGGCCGCAGCTCTGATAGCCGCGTCGTCGACGCCCGATCACCACCACGTTGCCGAACACGAACATGATGAGCAGGACGACGAGACTACAGACATCCAGACGGGCGACCTTAACTACAGTGGTAGCAATGAACATATCCCACGACCGGAAGAAGAGCGTAATACCGAGATTAGCAAGAAGAAAACACTCAACGATCAGCTAACTACACTTAGCGCGGAACTGAATGAACTGCGTGAGGATAGTAAACTCACTCAGGAGGACCTACTGCATCAAGACAATCGCAAGAAGGGGCGTGATAAGTACAAAACCCTACGCGAGATCCGCAAAGGCAACACGAAGCGCCGTGTTGATCAGTTCGAAAACATGTAAGAGAGAGAAAACGATCCAAAAAGAAAATCTAACACTACGGGACAATTTCGATGGAAACAAGAAAAAAAAAACAGTCTTTTTGTAATAACAATTAACTGGGGAAATGAAAAACAAACAACCGGCGTAGATACATAACGTCATACGACTGTGACTGCAGTAATACCGCTTCTTATAAACGACGACAGAGTAAGCAATAGTGAAGACAGCAGCAGTATTCGTATTGAAGCATGTGTTCGAAAATTTCGAGCTGTGCAAAACGATAAAAGAATTAAAAGAAAAAACTGAAAAAATTACCGAGTCAACGCAGACGATCGCTCAGTGCGTAACTATTGTATACTCACATGCCGTTTGTAATTGGCCATTGTTTCCAGTTCCCCTGCCGTGTCCAAATTAATTTGAAGTTTTCGGCAGCTCGATTGACCTTGCTGTTATCCAGTCTACATACAATAGCACGATTCTATCATGAAGGACCACAAGCTTATGATCAAGAGCAAATGTTCTTGCGTGTTACAAAAAAAAACAGTTTTTACTTATGAATTGTTCTTTTTGCATGGAGATATAACCCTGCCGAGCCATAAGTTCCATCAGCACGTGCTTGTTTGCTAGCTATTTGGAAAAGAAGCATCTGCACTTATATGAAGTACAGAAGGGAGAGAGAGAGAGAAAGAGCGAGAGAGAGCGAGAGAGAGAAATTGAGGTAATCAATTACATCCTACGAATGTTAATGGCGATATACTACTGTTAATGATAAGAAGAAGATAGGGAGGTACGAAAAATGAAATACACGTACAACAGCGTACACGCATTGGAAAAAATCGATTAAGCTGTATCTGTTTTTTTCTCCAAAAATAGGATACTGTAAAATACGAGTCACGAGCAGCGTGAAGCGGTGTAATCCTATATACGAACTCCATACAAATGCAAGAGTTATATACTCTATAACTACTATTGTTATCGTTACCATTAATATAATTCGATTAAATATAAAAGGTTAAATAAAAATTAACAGACGAATTACTTAGCAGCACATTAAAAACGTTATAGGTAGCAGGCAATGCTATGACGATGCGAGAAAAAAGTTTTTCTTGAGTAATTTTTTAACAATGCATATAAACCAACATAAGTTATTATTATCACTGCGATACAGTGGGTTGGCCCATCCAGTTACGTTGCGTTGTCACTTCGCTTGTCCATAGTAGTCATTGCGTGAGACGTTCAAATAAAGGTACACTACCTTCGATTTCATAAATACGATAATAATTAGCTCCTACTGATGATTTACTGTTTTTCCATTAATACGATGGTGCATACATGGTACGCCAAAAAGAATGCTAACGGGTAATTGTTTTTCCCTCCTATTCGTTTGTACTAGCCTTCTAATTTGGAGGACTCTATTCCTAAAAACACATTAGGTGGTTCAATGAATTTTTTCGTTTTCGTTAAGTATAAGCAAATAAAAAAAATGTCGACTGTCTGTAATAACGAATGAATACTACAGGAATGCGTGATCAACGGTGATTAATTAAGGTAGTTGTTCAGTATCTGTCGTTTGTAGGTCCTATGCTAAGGACTTAACGTAGGGCTAACAACATGAAGTAAATATGGCAGAACAAGACCCTACTCAAGACTAAATGTAGGTCCAATGCGCAGAACTGTGCATAAAAAAGCTACAATTTTCGCGGGCTCCGCCGTACTTCTGTAGATTTATTCGGTTCTTATTTTGTCCTGACGTTTTTTTAACATTACCATACAGTTTAACCGTTCTAACCACTGTATGTGTTTCGAGAGAAATAAAATTGGCGAAAGTGATATTTTCGATCAACTGATGTAAACGGCTGCGACCAAGTAAACAGCGACAAAATTTAAAAAAAAAAAGAGAAAAATCAGAATACCAGCGCCTCATGGTGAGTGTCTACGACCGGCGTATTAACGATGGCGATTATCTGATTTCTGTAATATTGTTTTATTATTATAATTTTACTATGACGGGTACCAGCACTAGATAATAGGAAAGCGCGAGAGAGAAGCTGTTGATGTAAAGTAGGTCACAGTGGACAAATACGATTCCATACGGTCGTAATAATTAGTTTATGCTGATGAAGATTTGAAATCCAGATCCGGATGTTTACATGAAAAAGTCGAGAAATATTACTTTTGACTGAGCTGCAGACCATTGCAATGCGATTAGACATATCTCGAGATAAAGGGCAATACCCATACAGTTAAATAACGAAAAAAAAACAAACGGCAGAAAAACAGATATGAAGAAAAAACAAAAGGGCAAAATAAACGAGAGAAGACACAAGCGAGCGAGCGAGCGAGCGAGCGAACGGAACTAGAGCTAGCAAGCAGCGCAAAAAGGCAAATACATATGTTTTTATCTTAAAGTGATTGGTGACAGAACCATTAAAATCTGTGTTTTTATTGGTCTCTAGCAGTAGACGAAAATAGTAATTACCAAAAATAATAACAATACAAACAATAATAATAATCATATTTTTTAGATTAATGATGAGTACCATACAATCATTAAAGATAACTTATTTATCACACGAATCATGTAGCATGCACCTAAATGGCAACTAAGATTGATGGTTGAAATACACAAGCTCAGAAACGTTAATATGTTAAAATCAAGTACGTACCAAGCTCGAGTAAAATCATCAAATCGTCTTGATACGACTTCTGTTATTAGTTGATTTTCTTCACCTGCTCTTCTAGAAGGTCAGGTATAATGTAGGTTCTATTCAAATGAAGTGCAATCAATCTCAAATAGGGCTATAGTCGAAGTTTTTTAATGGTGTTTCTTGATGAACAAATGATCATAGGCGAATGTATTATAGCCGAACGTAAACTAGTCAAACACACTTCTATGTCTTGTAGAAAAACTTTAATGTACCGAAAATTATGTCTGCACTTCTCATCTCGTTCATATATCATTCGCCCATTTTACGATTGATAGTACCGTTGAGTTAGTAATATTGAATAGGCTGAACGTTTATTTTACATCTCGTATGCGTAATTCATCTGGTTCAGGTAATGTCAAGAGTGTAGACTGTTTGGTGATATAACGTCTTGATACCATTATACATTTTTGAAAAGCTACATGTGTCTACTATAAATAGGGCTCGATACAAAGAACGTTAATGTAACTACTTACCGATTACAGATTTAATCGGCTTAATGCTTTCATAAATCGGGATGCTAAATATGTCATATATGAAGTGCGCTTGATGTAAAGTAGTTCCCGATTATGTGTTAAAATTGTCGTTGGACATAATCATTTCGGCCCTTTGTATAATGCAGTATGTACATTGGGTCAATAGGTAGACTAGATTTTGCTGTAAATGAACGAATTTTAGTGATTATACTCAGTCTTCTGCCGCTCGCAATCTAAAGAACACAATAAAATCCCGGCATAGCTGCATGTTTGATTATTATGGGCTCTGTTAATAATTTGGGTAAGATCTAAATGTTTTTCGTGTAATCTATGAAGACTAGACTTATAACTAAGGCAAGTTTAAGATATATGAAGATTTTTTTTATTAAGGATGATGAATAAAATTTGTACATGATATTTTTGAGTTATGTTCTTAAATAGCTCTGTTTAACTTACTTCAATAATTACTCATTATTCCTAGTGACAGTGTGTGCCGCTCCATACCATTAACTAAATTTTCGTGATTGATTTTCGCAAATTATAATACATTCACATCATAATTCATCGAAGACATTTTCACAAACTTCAGATCATGAGTCGTGTAATCGTATTCAGCAAAACGTTTGTATTTACCCTATTAAGGCTTAAAAAGCCTTTCATACTCAATGCTTATCTCTTGATCATTGACAGCTACCATAGCATTGGAATAAGCTTAAAAAATGTTTCAGGACGATCTACACAATGCAAACGGTTTTGATATACATTCAACACAGAAGCTTCCTTTCACCAGGGTATAATGGACGAAGCTGGAACTAGGTCATTCGACAGTGAATGTGAATGCGGGAGTGGAACCATTACGGGTGGTTCTCTAGAACGTATCCCAGGAACTAACACAGTCGATTGAGGCATTAGGTGTGGTGGCATTCCGGGAGCGCCTAAGCCCAGAATTGCGGGATTGCTCTGGAACAACGACAGATTCATATATATAAGAACCTCAATCGAATGTCGCTACCAGGTCTGAGAAGTAATTTGTGTTCTAGTTCCATGTTATAGAGAGCTTGAAAAAATACTATATACTAAGGTAATTGTTAGAACTTAAACAGACCTGTCCAACTAGTTGTTGAATCCCATGCTCTCCATGTAAGTTTCTGTCTTCTGGTCCAGCTGCAGACGCGTCACCGGGTGAGATTTCTTCCTCGCTAACAGGAGTGACTGCGGAACCTTGACTCGATTCTTGAGCTCGTGCATCGTCAGGGATCGTTCCAATAATTCCGTGTTCCGATTTGATCTGAACCCCCCCGTAACCAGCCAAATGCACCATTTGCATGGTTCTTAGCATGGACATGGGATCTGTACCTGATTCCGTTGTAGGCAGTCTTTGTTCCATTGTTTCTAACGCACAACGTAGCACCTCACCTTGCTGACTCAGGTCTGTTGATGCCGCTCTTATTTCACGTGTGTTTTCATTCTGAAAAGAACGAATATTTTTGTCCATTTGGGTTGTCAAGGTATGTTCGCTTTGAGCGCCTGCGTGGGTCCCCGTAGCTTGTTGCCTGTACTCAAGAAGAAAGCGCGATTATATTATTATAGGAGCTAGTCACATTGGGCCTCGTTTGTGGAAACTAATTAAACTCAAATACAAATCTCTTCTTATTAAAAGCAAAAACGGTAATAAAAAATGACACGTTCACCGAGGTTTGCGACCTACTTGCGATTTATGACTGCGTTTTCAAAGCTTTATTAATTTATTAAACGTCAGAGTTTGGATTTAGAGGGATACAATCTATCATGCCATTACTGTTAACCATTATAAACAATGCGATAATCTAGGGTTTTTTTACCCGAAATACTGCACCTTGTTGAATTAAAATAAAAACATACTCGGTTGATTTAAGTGCTACGAAAGCAGCTGCTTCATTATGAATACGCATATGTGTTTTGAGTAGATTCGACGTGGTGAAGCCCTTCTGACAGACGGAGCACACGTGGGGGCGACGACCAGTGTGTATAAGCACGTGCGTGTTCAAAGCAGATTTTTGGATAAAACCACGGCCACAAAATTCGCATAGGTGTGGAGCCTAAAAAACCAAAGAGAAGAATTCATAACCACAATGTGTTCCAAAAAGTCTATATTTATGCTCATGTTCTGTCACGTAGATGCTACTTATAGGTGTTATAGACGGTATAAATATGAAGACAGGCACCAAGTCAAGAAATGCCCTAATTTTTTATTTAGAAAGGACTACTGTTGCACCTTTCTAAATAAAACGTTACCTTTGGACCAAAAAAAATACCTGCAGGAAATCGCAACAGTTATCAAATCATTACATCGATCGTTCAAGCATTGTATACTACTTCATAAACACCAAAACGGAATTTCACTATTATTTATGATTTATGTCCTTACTACCAATCCTCTTATAATTTACAATATAGACTTGCTCGAAACTATTTTGAGAAATTTTGGGAATAGGAGTTAAATGGGAATTTCAATTATGTGTTATCCAATTTTACGGCTCTACTACGTAACACTCACAAGGAAACATTTCCTATACCTTACAGCTTACAACAACCAATCAAATCCGTAAAGTAATCCTGTGTGACTGCCGCCTTACCTCTCTTGTGTGCGTCCGTATGTGATCTGTAAGAGTGGAGCTTTTAGCAAATCCTCGTCCACAGTGTTCACAGATGTATGGTAGCTCACCAGTATGTAACCGTTCATGATTTTGTAGATGTTGCCGCTCACGAAAACGAAGTGGGCAGTAACTGCATGGATGGGGTTTTTCTCCAGTGTGGGTCATTTCGTGCCGCTTCACACACTGCCGGGTGTTGGTCCTAGAAAAAAGCATTTGGTGAATATTTCACATTCATTAAACATTGGATTCCATCAGTAAAAGAGAAGCTTAGACATATCATACCATTAAACGTATCGTAAAAAACTCATACATACATGTAATCACAGTACTGGCACTTGAAACGCTTTCCGCCAGGTACCATCGGCGCGGATAGAGGACGGCCCCGCTTTTTCGGTGGAATGTTTGGGTCTGGCGGAGGTCTATAATGAGAAATAATTCCATCACAGAACCCCAGTGGCATTACCAAAATTGCTTTTTGACTTCTTAACTTAAAAACCTAGCCAATGATGGATGCTTACTTTGTTTTCCGTCGTTTTTTAACTGCTACAGGAGCTATAGTCGATCCTTCGTTAGTGTCTGAGTCCAGTTCGGCCTGGTCATTTTTCGCGGGAGTAGGCTCTTGTTTCACCCTTCGTGGTCTTCCACGACTGCTTTTGATGGTTTGGCTTTCGGAACACTCCTCTTCGTCGACTCCATTTCTCGTCGTCGACGCGAGGTCCTTGAGGGACACCTATAATCGAGCACAGAAATATGTACCGTTAAATTTACTTTAACGCAATCAGTTACAATGAGTGTTTCTTTAGCTCTCCATTGTGATTAGCGAAATATCCCTTTCAAATACTTTCGGCACTCATTAATTCGAAACTGGTTTACGTGTATCGTTCATGTGTCATATAATTCTGCTTTTTTTTTCGCAAGTATATTCGTATTGGCATTTACCTTAATAACTATGCGTTCAACAGCTGGATTCTTACGAGGTCTTCCACGTTTCCTTCGAGGCGGTTCGCCAGAGTCCTGCGATTCTGCCGAGAGGATTTTGCCGTTTTGTTGCTCAGGCGAAACGTCAATGTGTACCACGCCATTGACTCCTCCTTCCTAAGAACATTGTTATCGATTTGGAAGAGTTATCTGGGGGAACTTAGAAAAATTATGAGGCAACGAAGGAATTTCTTTGCAGGTACGTATTCACTCCAACAGATACAAAACATTAATAGAAGAAATTTTGCTAGACTCACTTGGTCCCCTTCTTTTTCGACGGAATCTTCCTCATCAGGTTCATCATTTGCCAAGTTCCGTACACGATCCTGTAGCTTTTCGAAATCTAGCATGGGCCGTTAAAAACCAAACACAACATGTCTTTGAGATCACACGGTGCCAATTGATGCAGCGTGCGATAAGCGTTAAGCACTTATTTAAATCTATTGTGCTCAGAAAGTTGAATCAGGTATCAGCAGCTCTAGATATAGTACACAATCATGCATAGAAATAAACTGCGAAGTTAGGAGAAACAAATAGGCTAGATGGTCAAGTCTGCACAGGCATCACGACTCGACAACAAAATAGGTGAAGCGAACCAGCTTTAACGTGACGGCGGACTTGTAGAATAACTATGGTTATTATTGCGAATCTAAGCTGAGCAGCTCTTCTTATAACTCACTCACGGATACCATTCTGAATATCTAGAGCCACACAAATATGTGGGATTTTTCTGCTAGAAGTTTGCATTAAAGCTTGTAGATTTTAGCTTTGCTCTTCATTACTTTAACGATGACGTACTGAGATGATTAAGCATACTCTATTCCTTTATCCGCAACGTTGTACGCTTTAAACAAGATTGAGGTTGTTTATCTTTGCTTGGTTCTAACCACGATAGTGTTCGCTCACCTTCTATAAGAGCTGGCGAGTTTGATAGAAGCTCCTCCCACAGTTGGGCGATATCGAACGCTTTTCTCATTGTTAATTCCCCTCGCTCAGCCAACAGCCGACGACGAATTTCTCCCGAACGAATTCCGGCAATCAGTTGATCTCGGAGACGTTCACGAATCTGTCGTGTTATAGAGTCGTTACCTCATGCTTTCTATAGGTAGTTAAACCCTATATAAAATGGATATAAATGGATAATTGAAAAGAAATTCAAACAGAAAAACAAACCTTCGGAAATCCACAGGCTCGGCCAAGCTGTTTGAGATCTCGTATATAGTCAGAAATCGATTCATTTGGCTGCTGGACCCGGCGGAAAAAGATCAGCCTATATTAAGCGACAGGAAAAGAACTAATGTTAGTAATAAACTCCGAAATTTCTACGCTAACCTAAATGCGCTTATAAAAATATAACGTTATAACCAGAAGGACCAGCTGAATCAGCTCACCGGGTTTGCAGAATGTGGTTTCTAAGATGATTCAAGAAACCACAAAAACAGTATGACATCTAGCATTGTAACAGTTTCGGCTATCGGATTGGCTAACAATCGGGCAACTTATCTTTTATAGACACCTAAAACATGAGGTGTTTATTAGAATATATTTTACTGTTAATTTAAGTATATGGATAACATGTATGTTATAGTTTAGCTGTTGACAAAAAAAAAAGAGCTGTGCTTTGAAGAACGGTACCTTTTGATGGCGGCTCCATCTTCATAATGAAGCGCTACTCTTAGTGCTTCAATTGCGTCTTCTGCCGTTAGCTCGCACGACTTCGCTTCATCCGGCCGATTTTCGTTTTCGGCTTGAGACCTCTTGGACGCCAAAGCTTCGTTAAGAATGCTGCAAACTGTACTGCCGCCCCGACGTCTCAAAATTGAAATCTAAAGAGGATGAAAAAACTTAAGTAGGCCTAAAGCAACAATCTATTGTTTTCATAAAGCCGCTGTATATCATCGTCATATATGCAATTATTTTGCAGTTGATTTTTAAAAAGCCTTCAAGTACAAATGAGGACTGTGCCTCTGATACCCACCAGCTCTAAATTGTTTGGGATTATGCATACCTGTTAAATTATTAATTTCATAATCGTGTCGATGGTAGAAATTCTCTTTTTGAGCTTACGATGTATATGATCCAAAAGAGCTACCGAACGGTAGCTTGTCATCATATTTAAGAAACAAGTTTTAAGGATTAATTAAACTATACCAACCTTCTGTTTGTTATCAACGATGTTGTTTGCCTTGAAGAAGCAATCTAGAATAATCTCGTAGCTTGGCCAATCTAACTTCGCAGGATCAAATGCCATCAGCTTCGCGCTACAATAGAAATAGATTTTAGAAAGAGTTTATTCAGAAGAGGGACACCTAAATGATGCACGTGTATGAAAAACTTTTATCATCAAGAGACGCTGTGCAACTGAAGTCATATGATAATCCAGGTTTTCAGACCCAGCTAGGCTTTATGATTTTTTAAATTCACGAATTTTAGGATTCTCTATGTTTTCAAAGTAAAAAAAAACATACTGGGAAAGACAATGTTGCTGTTATTTCACTGTTTTGACTAGGAATTATTTAAAGTTGAAAGAAAAAGGTGTAGGAATAAGCGTGTACCGATTTTGGCCATGTACGAAAGATTACAACAGATATATTTTTCGGACCAAAAGGCGGTGATTAAATTGTATATGCAAAAAACGTAAGGTTCTATTTGGGAAGTATAATAATAGGCTCACAGCTAAACTCAAGGTAGAAAGGAGGTACGCATACAGTCTTATTCTCTCACATATATCGAGTATTGATACTCGTTCTTGCCGAAATTATAATAAATCTCAAAGGTACTCGTAATGTGACCCATTTCAAAGGGTTTTAGGTGTTGTTTTATTATAGGATTCGTTGTAAATACTTCACTTACTAACATTTCATTCTTGTCTGGAGAACCGAAAGCGGGTCGGCCACTTTTCGGGGCATTAATCACGGATCCAGTGATCTCGAATTTGTCCCGAATCTTGTAAATGGATCGTCGTGAAGGTGGAGAGGTTCCAAACTCCTTAGCCCACTTTTCCCGAACCTTTTCGGCGTTCTCGGTCTTCTGGTATTGCTCAATAATCTATTGTTGCTGTTCGATACTTAGATTGCCCGCCATGATTATGTAGTTGTTTTGGTGATTTTATGAGAAAGAAGCACTTACCACAAGTGCTCGAAGATGTTGAAGTCAAATCGATGATGCTCACAATGGCGCCACACATAAAGGTGCTCTACTCATCATACATAAGATACGCTGTAAATCGTTTACGGAAGCTGGTCTTTCCTCTAATTTTTCATACATGTATAATAACATTCAGAAATAAAAACTATGTATAAGATTAAAATAATAAAAAATAGAAAAACTTCAACAGAAATATATGAGCCGTGGTTTAGCAGTAACGGCACCTACGTGACTTTGGCGAGTCCGTATGTAGCTACAAACAAGCATACTTGAACGCTGCGACGTACCTTACTTTATTACAAGTAAAACATCTGTTTGGATACAAATAGCAGAAAATGATTTGGTATTACCTCAGACACCATTTCTTACACAGAGAAAAACAAACCATTCATCGGTATGGCGTATTTCAAAAACAAATTGATAATTTGGCTCAAGTGTAACTAAATTTTGCCAATGTTATTGACGTAAATGTGCTAATGTACATATAACCCTTTTAGCATGCCATAAAGGGAATAGTTTATGACAAATATTAGAATCTATCGGAATCATAATTATTTCGTAAATAAGTAACGAATTGTAAATATTTAACCATAAATATCAACACTGTATGCGTACATCCTCGCCCACCCATCTTTTAACTGTAACTGTACTCCCTTTCCTAACTGATATTCGTGACGAATTAACTTACCTAATTTCAGCAACTGAATTTTCAAGGTTATCAATTGTGTTATCAATAGTTTTCTCGTTACGGCGTGCTCCACAGTCTTTCATCGATGACGAAGATAACGGCGGTAACAGATTCTTTTGGGCCCCAGAACTTTCTGGTTCAACGTTGTTTACTGATACTTCATTTGTTACATCTTCGCTCCCAGAATTAATTTCTTTTTCTGCTCGTTGCTCTAGAATTAAAAGAAAATTAGCTCTTCAGGAGTTATTTTGATCATTAGCGCGGTATATTTATTGTTCCCGGTAGTAAACACAACACGTCAGTTACAATTCATTGTTCATATTTGTTGCTAAAGTAGACTTTTGTGTCAGTTTCAGAGCGTTGATACAATCTATGGAACGTGTTTGTAACTTATTTAAGCTCTTTTTGTTAACTCATTAATTAATTTTCTAAATTTAGTTTTGACTGTAATGTCGCAACTGCATCTTAGCACCTGTGCTTTCAATATGTCATTAGGATATAATCAAAAATTACTCCATTATGTATTATTTTTATTATTATTTATATCAATTTATTTTATAGGAACTTTTCCGAGTGCTAATTACCGTCCTCCATTCTTGTTTCCACTGCGGTTCGTTTCCAGTCTAGTGTACAGGAATCTAGTCGACTAGCACACACGTTTGAGTTTTAACAATGAAAAATTTCCATGGCAAGACTCAGTGTTCTGTCACACATATACGCTACTAACAAATTCGTAGCCACAGCTGCCTTCCGTCTTTCAGAACATTCGTCGATTTATAGCCATAGGAAAGTCCCCGGGATACATAAAGCGAATGCATTGCTGTCTGGGATTTCTATAAAACTGTTTAACTAAATTGCGATTGCGCACACGGGTGCCGCCGACAGATGAGAGAACTTTTTAGAACTTGAATGCTTTGATGTGGTGGATTTTACTGGGTCTTTAAAAGAAAATTGAGTTTCAAGAAACTTCCTGTAATTTTTAGTTCTTGACATTGAACGTATTGATAAGCTAGTAATTTTTGTTAAAATTTATACAATCTTTAGAGGCCCATTTTCTTTGGATGAAAGCCCATCCGTTTGCTTTGATTTCTTGAAAATGACGGGCTTCGAAGTACTTGTCACACTTCGCTTTATAAAGCGAATTTTAATACTTGAAAGTTATTTTTATTTGATTAATTGAAAATAAATACATTAACGTCCGCAAACTGATGGTGATTATATTCGTATATAATTTGAAATGAGAATGAGTTTTTAATGATTAATAATGATCTTTTTTTGTATTTCTGTTCCGTTATTTGATATTACATTACTGAACATTACAGTCGGTGAATGATTTATTTATTGGATTATGTTTTCGGAAAGTTCGGTAAACAAGATGAGAAAATGACGCAGAAAAATTATGTCAACAAATAATTTTATATAAACTTACACTCTGCTGTAAATGGCGCTTCTCTATCTTCAAATAGTCGAAACGATATTCAGATCAGACTTTAAATAAGTGCTAAAAAAATTGAGAAATTGCTATATACTTTATCGTAAAGTTGTTTAAATGGTACCTTAGTAAAATAATTATTATTTTGGACAAAACAGTTTGCGATCTCGACGTTAAATTAACGTATCTAAATAATGTAAAATCTATTTTGACACAGATTGCAAATCATTACACGATTTGAGTTTAGATCGGCACAAGTATAATGGAAAATAAGTGGTTTGAGTCTTCAGTACGTTTCAGAAGGCGGGCCTCCTACACGTAACGGAGCGTGTCTGCGCTCACTTTGACCGTCGCACGTGCCCCTAGATACTTGCCCCTGGAGAAATTTGTCGCTGAGATATAAAGGCATTTTTCATTGATCTTTTCGACACTCGTCGAAAACCATCATCGTCGATCACCACTTGTCAGCCTCTTTATGTAGCATAACACGTAAAACCAATTGTTGTGTTCATTACACAGGTGGTCTTATTAGCAATTTGGGTTGTACAATGTATTAAATACGTAGGGGAACCCAGACATTTTTGATCTATTTGAATCTGTGAGCAAACGTAGCGTGCATACATCTAAAGCACACCTATTTTGTGTTACTCTTACTTGACTGTTAATAAGTTATGCAATTATTATTACATTTATTTTCATACTTTTCTAAACAGATAATTTTTCTATCAAAAACCCATATTCTAGTACGTAAATCTATTCTTTACAGTTGGCCTTGCCATGGTATTAGTTCACAGCTGTTGCAGTGGTAACAAACGCTCCGACTTGCAACCATATTGTTTGCGTGCTTGCGTACTTAAAATTCAATGAACCTTTTAAACAATATTTATCTCTTCATTCTAGCTCAGATAAGCTTGGTCTGTGTGAATATCGTTACGCTCGAAATGAATACCTACTACATGGAGCACTAACTATACCGGAGTATCCGTCCGGGAATGTTAGGGTCCTCCTGAACTCGTAATACATCTGATTTCCAAAGGATAGCTCCAATTCAGACTTCATACTCTGTAGTATCGTAAGATTATTACAACAATAAACAGTGCTCAATTTTTTATTGTACGTCATCATCTAGGTACAAATTGTCTTGTGCTTAGGGCCCAATGCAAAAACATTGACGCAAATCTACGTACTAGCAAAATACAGCCCGAGTTTTTCAATCGAAATCTAACTCGCCCTAATGACCCGCGAGCCCTTTCCATCCGATTGTCAAAAGCCTCGCAGTTGCAACATGGCGGTCGCCGTTTGATGTCTGCTCGATCGTCCGTCAGTTAAAGCAGCTCATATGGGTGTTCCCTGTAATGTGTATCTGTACGTTTGAAATGTTGGAAAATTCGAACAGCTATACCACTCAACTAATCTAAAAATGTGGTTATATTAATTATTTCTATATTAACATTAACTCCATATACCCAAAACCGATAGCCAAACAAATTTCTTGTACTTGTGTGTATTTGTTGAGAACCTGTGGCAGACATTAGAAGAACAGCGGCAAATGTCATTATAACCAAAAGTGACAAAATGGACGAACTGGAAAGTACCAGTGCTCAAAAGTTCTCCCAACTGAGTTTCGACCCTGAAAAATGTAAGCTATAATGTAATGCGAATAAAAATTTGATGAGGTAAACGGGTAGTGGAGTTCATTACCGTTCATAAATCAAAAAAGAGAAATGCCAACAATATTGAAAATACACTGCACAGACAATAACAGAAAGGCATCACATTCGTATGTAATAGGCAAACCAATGTTCTTTGTTGGCGTATTTTTCAGTCTAGAAGTACTTACTGATGGCATTAACCGAACGTGTCTTATTTGCACTTTAGCTCAACTCAGCATTGATAAACACACTTCAGGCGTGATACTTTGGCGTTGATTTTTATATGCAAAAAGAAAGTCTGTCTAAAACTAATAGAATGAGGATACTGAATTACAGTTTGTTAAAAGCCTAGTATATGGGCTGTTCGTTGCGGTAGAGCGTAAAACTTCCTAGAACTTCTATATTAGTCTATTATTATTTCTTTTTGAAGAAAAGCTTCAGGTCTTTTTACGAGCTCTTAAGCACAGCAACATAGTTAATTGCAAAAGCTTTACCTTGTTTTAGCTTCCGCAGCTTTATTAAGTTACTTGGTTATTGGTCGAAAACATATAATAACAGTAGGTGTATTCGTACTGAGAGAACTTGCATCAAATATGGTTTATTTTATATCAAACTATAACATTGCTTACGTTGGACTAGGTTTGATTGATACATTGTACATGCTTTTCAAAATGGCGCCGAAGCTTACTAGGCCATTGAAATCTTGCTAGGTGCATCCAATCACGGTGACATGGGAATGGATATACTGTGCAAAGGTGACTATGTATTGATACGCAGTCGGGAGTGGGCTGGGGGTTTACTATGGCTGACAGACAATAAAGCTGATTTTTTTCCAGAGCATATATTGCTGGCATGTCAAATTAGCCATGTGTGTATCTATGTGTAATCTATTGCTGCACTAGATGTATCGGGCATTGTGCAGCGTGCTGGAACAGTGGAAAGAATCCTTCAAGAGAAGCAGGCCGTCCTGAATCTTCAAGAACAGACTAATCATCAACTTAAGAAAAATGTCTATGACAACTATAAGCAATTCATCGATACCGCCAAAGAGATTTCATGTAAGTACAAACCCAAAAGTAAATCCTTCGTTGTGTCCTCTACTAGAGCTATTTCGTCTCTAGATGATTATTATTGTGATTGTTGCAGTGTTTCACTATATCCTTAGGTTCGAACGCTTAATCAGCCGAATTCTTCTATGAACAAAAAATAATGAACTAGACAAACTTCCTGTCAGAGAAGTCATGAGCTTAAGTGGGCCGCTATGGATTTCACATTCAACTCGAATCTTAAGTATACAGTATCTTAATAACTGACAACCGATTAATAGCAGGCCCCAATGGTACATTATAGATGTGGCGAGCGAGATGCACCAACTCCGCGATATGTTACATCGCCAGGAACAACTGCTGCATGCTATGACAGGATTATCAATCGTACAACACAAAGGCGGCAAAGCCGGTATTCAAGGAGATCTGTTGGCCGATGACGGACCTGACCACGTGGACCACAAACGTAATCAGACCGCCATTCAGGGGGACCAAGATAATCACTCCGGTGGACCCGGGAACCGCAAGGAAAATATATCGTTTCTCCTTGAAAAAGTTGAAGGGGTGGCTCGATTATTGGATGGTAGTGACAAGACCCTAATAAAGGCAGGAGAAGCTATTCTTCTTGAACGAGACGATTCCGTTAAGGTTTGTTTAGCATTATCTGCAGATTATGACGTTCCGATTAGAGCCGTTATGGCCGTTTTGATTCGTTGACTCGTGCAAAGTAGTTTTCGACACTCACCCATAAAACTATTTGGCTTTTGGGGAATGTAAATTGTTCAAAATTTAATAATGGCGCCCTCCCATTGTAGCAGCCATATCGTCAATTCAAGCATTAAACTTACATTGAAATTGAACGATTTACTGAAAATTTTCCGGAGCACAACCGTGTGGGAAATAGTTTAACGTTTGCCGCAGAGGTGTTACCGAAATGATGAAGGTGTTGAAATTGTTATGAAGATCACCTAATTTAGTCTGATTTATTGTCCCTTGAATTTTCAGGTTTATATTTGTCTTTTAACGGATTCACTTCTGGTGGCGGATTTACTTCCTGTAAAGCGGGGTACGATTCAGTATCGCCTTCGATGGGTATTCGAACTCGATTCACTGGCGGCCGTCGACGCCAATGCGCCATCACAACTGAAAATGCTTGTCTTTCCACAGAGCATACTTCTGCAGATGGAGTCGCTTCAGGTATATCACAGACCCTACTTCTAATTTAGAAAAAAAAAACGGTCAGCTACGTCTTTCTACCTTTCAGATTAACAATCTAAGGCGTTGTTTTGTCCTTTACGTATTTGTTTACACAGGAAAAGGTGTCATGGATAGAAGCAATTCGTGCTGCGAAACAGCAGAAATTGTCGCGGCAAGCAGTGGCAAACTCGCGACTTGCGCAAGATTACCCGGGTTTGGCACTGGCATTAGGTCAAGGTGAACCTGATGAAGAGGGTGAGGGTACCCCAATGCCTGATTGGCTTGTCGATCTTCCTGATGACCTGGATATTTGTATCGCAGAAAGAAATTTTGAGCAGGCTGTCAGATTGCTACAAAAAGGTAGGGTTTACACACCAGTGGCTCAACCGAACTTTTTTTCGTTTTTACAAAATGTTGCAATAAAGGCCAAAACTAGTGCCTTGCGTGCTTCTCTTTGCCGTACAGGAACAAATAACAAATTTGATCCTTTATCTGAATTCTTTAGCTCAAGACTATTGGCCCACGCAGGAAGGCGATACGCAGGAAATATCCAATTCAGCCCGTGACGTTAAACTGAGAATCGATAAGCGCCATGAGCAGCTAGTCAAGGTGTAGCGCTTTAACTACTATTTGTCTAAAACGCTTTTTAAGTGCCGATTACTCCATCATAATTTCTATCTATTAAGTATCGTCATTCACTCTCTTGCCATAAATGTGCTCTGAAAACGATCAGTTACCTGCATCCCATCTAAATTGTAGCTAATCCAGACTAAGATTGTATAAGGGTTATAGGGCATGTAGATACATATACATCTTCTAATTTTGAAAATCAAGTGAGGATAATAGCAAAATACATGTTTTGAATATAAGCATAAGTTTGAATATAAGGTAACCTGACTTGTTTTTGCAAAGCAACGCAGGTGCTTTGTGGTGAGTTAAGTGCTAGCGGTAGCGGTTCGTTGCACGGTGGGCCCCGGGCAGCGAAATGTGCTGTTTCTTTGCTTATTCAATTGGGTCGAGCCTCGGTGGCGGCCCGACTATTCCTCGAGCATCGAGCCACATTACTTCGTAGCAACACAAAGAGTCAGAGCTTGCACGCCGAAGGTGCGCTAACGCTGTACGTTAAGAGAGTCTGTGGAGTATTTTTCAGGTCAGTTGTGCAATATATGATGGCAAATAGTCTTTACCGTATTGATTCCATTTTGTTTCATATTACGTCAAACCAGTACTCCGTTTCAAGCTGCTTGTCAAACATGAAACTAGACTATGATATATTGTATTTCAGTCACATGGCAGAAACAGGTCGTCAGTTCCAAAAAGCCTTTATTCCTCATTCAACAGCTATAGCCTCTGGTGAGTTCATACTATGTATACTATTTGATCTGCACAATCAAACATGATGAAATTGCAGTAAATTGCACTGATTATTTGATGATTTCCTAAGGTCCAAGCAAAGCTTAAATGCTGTCTAAGTCTGCAACGTTCAGTTGATCAGTACTTTATATTCTAAACTCACTTGTAATAACATGTTTGGCGATTTTTTTAATATGTTTATCAACGTACATTGTCTTACTTGGTGATTAGCTCTGATAAGTTGGTGCCGCTCGCAGTTGGTCTGGTTCGTTCAAATGCTTTCCCGTCAGCTGTTCACCCCTCAAACGCAGCTGTCAGCGGTTGCCGAAGCGGTCGCGATCTGCCGATCAGCCTGCCACGCGCTAAACGAAATCGGTGAGTTAAACTATAATTTACTGGAGAAGCCAGAATTGTTCTTCGCCTTTAGAAATAAAGGCGTGTTAATCATGTGATGAGAGGTTCCTCTCGCCTGATCCTAAATACGAGTTATAAATGAGCCTTTCAGGTCTAGGAAAAATTAGTTGTTTTTGTTGTTGTTATAGAAATCGGTCCTGGAGTTACTCTTGTTATATCGAAAATTATTCGCGTGTCTTTCGTGTATTTAAAGGTCTAGATTTCGAGTTTGTTCTAATGCGAGCTCTCCGCCCAGATCTCCAGAGATGCATAACCGATGGGCGAGATAAGATCCTCGAGGCCATTAAGCACCGGGCAAGTGAAGACGTTTGGAAACCTCAAAAGGTTTGCTGAGGTTCATAACGATTGATCAACAATACTCAAACCTGTAAAAGCTAAACGTTAATAACGGCCACGTTCACGGACGAAACTATAGAATTAAAAAGAAAAGTAAACATAAAATAGAGACCATTCAACGCGATTTTTTCGAAATTTGTTACAAGAAATTATTCAATAGATACTTTATTTGTTTGTATGGAATTGCAATAAATGTAATTCACGTAAATTAAGCATTCTAATAAAGTTACAAAATTTTAATTACAAACACTATTGAATATTCAAGAGGGCGTTCGGCGGTATTTATTTCTACTTACTTAATAGCCGAGCATAATTATAGTTTTCCAATCGGGTTTTGGATTCGTACACGTACAGATCGACGACACATGGCAGGTGTCATTGGAACGCATCGGCCTTCGAATCTCTGTAGAACAGCTGTACGACGATGCGTCTATGACGTACCTAACAAACAATTCAATAGCATTCGCCAAGGCTCTGCTGCTATTTACTGGAGACACGATAGCGTTGCTGGATAGTCCCTCGCACGGCCTTATCGCTTCCGCCCTCCGAGATGTCGTGGCCGCGCATCGTCGACATATAGCTAATGCCCTCGCCACCACGAAGCTTAAGTCCGATGTAAGTTAGCCGAAGACTAGATAATCATGGGCTTTTGTTAGTGAGTATTGGATCTGACTAATGTATAGATGTTACTATCCGTTCGTTCGGATGTCTTAAAGAGAGTGCTGTTCTAGCAACAGTGCATAACGATGCTTCATGCGTGTGTTACAGATTAAGTTTATACAGCGGAACGAAGTATTCTTAGCTACCGATTTGGCAAAATCAGTGGAACGGAGATGCCAACAATCCGCCCAGGCTTGTCTGCTTTGGCTTAACATACGGTCGGCGTTTGATGATGAATCACAGAAGTTTTAAATGGATACTGTTCATTTTCGCTACTATGTCATTATTCATTGTTTTTATTTTGTGAAGCTTAGCAACATATGGTTAGCTTTATATAGTAAAAACGGTGCTGTGACTCAACAATAACCCCGATTTTTACAAAATAATCTAGAATTTATTTTAATAAATGCTGGCATTATGACGGGGAGTCAAATATTAGCATTATTACCATGGTTTTCTAATGGTATGCAAGTAATGACAAATGAAATCCTCGTCGTACGTCACCCATCGACGAAGATAAAATTTTAAGTGCCTGTACGTTACAGTTTGGAATGATAAGTGGTATTACGGTCTACTGACCGTAAATGAAGCTAAGTATGGATACTATTCTAAATAATGAAGATTCTCTACACTGTATGATAAACGACATTTGGCTAAAAATTGCCAGTTCGTGAGGTTTACTGTTTCACTTGACCTCGTTAGTGACTTTGCAATATAGATTATGTAATTATACAGGTATGATTTTCGAACTTCAATCTTGTTTAGCTGTGCTATCGAACTGGAAATGAGCAAGTACCAGTTAAGTAATTTAAGGCTATAATGCTCCGAAGTACCGTAGGGCTAACACAAAAAATGCGGAGTATTTCAACGAACGTATGTTTGCTAAACAGGCATAAAGAAAGTACGAATTGAGTGTCGTAATTAAAAAAGTGGAAAATACGATATATATTATGATAAAAATACCGTTAATATATTGTTTTTATCCAAATATTCTATATAAATTAATCTATAAATAGTCGTTATTACGTTATTATTTGAAACAGATAGGATTTCTTATATTCGATTGCCCGGTCTCACGGACAATCTTTAAGTCACTGTAATTTTGATAAAAAACGTTCATTGCAGATTTATGCGAGTCCTCTTCGTCGACTAATTGTAGAATACCGTTCCTTTTGATTTTAACGCGGGAGAATAGTACAACATTACAGGTTGTATATTCTGTTGCACCTTGTCACAAGGTCTGGTCTGCTTGCTGAAATGAAAATCACATCGAAGAAAATTTTGGTTTCATCTTTGGGTTGGCCCATATCTGCGGCTCGCATGGAAGTGAAGGCGCCAGCCATTTTTTAAGCTATATATACATATATGTGGTGGGTGGGTCGCAATATAATAAAGTGGGACGAAAAAGTTAATATTTGCAATGCAAGTAGACGTGAAATATCGGTGGCACATCTGCGGTAAACAGTGAATAAAACGTAATCTCCTTTTTTGCGAACGTTGCTTTTTTATTGGCTAAGTTCTGTATAACCGCGATATAAAGGATTATTAAGGTAGCATAAATAAGTCAAGAGGAAAAAATGAACTATGAAGCTCTATAAATGATACAGGCTGTTGTAAACAAGGTTTGCCGGCTACTGTTCCATTTAATTATCTTTTTCCGAATCGATTTTTCTGCCACCAAACCGTGCTGCGGATGAAAGTTTGATTTTTTCGGCTAATATGTCTAACTGAACATTGTTTTTTTCTATAAGAATGCATACAACAAACATCTATACATTTGATGTTTATCCAGCATCCTTTCCGCAATGGATGCACCAGAGACCTAATCATTGCACTAAATTTTTCGAAGGACCGGATAATAGTCCCAGTCATTGCCGCGTATGGATCTTTTATTGACGTATTATTGGACTTTTCTTTTTAATGTTGTATGCCAGAGGGAAAAATACTGGCTATTCAACGGCACAGAAAAAACTTTCGTTTCGTGGTAAATACGGGGGTACATCATCGGCAGACGACAATCGCAGGGCTATTGACTTGTACCGCCGTCATAATCTGTCATACCGCTTTCGGACAGTCATCTCACAGATTGATAAATATCATAGTCTGACTTGAGCGCTCGCTGTCGTAACGAACAAGATTCTGGCATCTATATTGCTTTGGGGTGGTGATGATAGAGCATACACAATACAGAACTATTAAAAGCCAACTAACTTATACGTTAAATATTTGACTTTATAAACGTAAATATTTGAGTTTATAAAGTTAAATATTTAACTTTACAAAAGTTAAGAGCCGCAAAATTCTATTGGGCCGAAAATATAAAAGGATATTTTCTACGATGTAAACATACATGTGTGAATGAGTATTAAACCAATTGAAAATCCTATAGGTTTCTAATAAAAAAGGTCAACCTTTTTTATGAGCAGGCTATCATAATAATCACTATTTTGTTATTTAAAAGTTGCCAAACTTCACTGGCTAGCCATTGTAGCTATGGTAATGGTCCTACATTACACAATTATGTCGTCGAATTGTAACGCATCGGAAATTACAGAAGAGAAATGACAAGCAAGTATAAAATGAATTTTGTAGAAGCCTAAAAAAAATAAAACCTAACACGTCGACCATAACGATAATAACAGTAATGTAACAAAGAGTTGAAATGAAGCGATGAGACACTTTAGACAAAATAGATAGATTGCATGCATAAGTGTCCAATGATCTTCTGCTGCTCACATACAGCTTCCAGCAAATTTCTCATGGTCCTACTGATCATGTCTCAGAGACGTTTCTGGTCATGAAAGTGTATCTTGTTATTTTGGTTCTGTTATCAGATAGCTCAGCCAGTGAAGCATATTGTATTGTGGGTATATCTCATGTAGCCCAGTTTTTATTTATTATATATATATATATTACAGCTCGCAATACGCAATCATCTGCCAAAGAGGTCAGGACTTCGATAAAGTGAACAGCTTCGACAAGGTCCCTTGTCTAATATCTCTTGTTTAATGGTTATTATTGGCGGAGCCAATAATAACCATTAAAACACAACATCATCAGCGAAATTAGTTTTTTTTTTCAGTATCAATAAACTAATAAAGTGGTTCGCCTTATTATCCGCTGTTTGATTCACTCAACTCGGTTTAGATGAAAATTTGTTAAGAAGCACGCCGATCGTTTGTGCTGTGTATCTTTTTTCATTACGTCTTGTCATAAAAATTTAGAGTTTGTTATAAAAAACGAGACTATGTATACAATTGAGAATCAGTGATAAAAAAAGACGAGTAAACATCTTTGTCCTTCCAGATTCAATACCCGCTCTGATGAATAGGTTAAAGGTCCGTCAGCTTCTTGTCACGGCGAAAATAACGAAAACATATTTTCTTTCAGAAACAGTATGTGAAATAATATAAACGGAACCGCTCTCAGGCGAGGCACTTACTGGATGTACTGTCAAAAGCTGTATTTCTTGTTCATATTCATTGTTTTCAGGCACACAAGGCCGAGGGGCGAAAACAACAGTGTGATCTTGTAATTCAGTGACGAACATGACACGGTCTTAACACACTTTAAGAATTCTGTTGGTTTGAGTTTAGAAGAAAGTCAACACCGATGTCATCAATTCGATATTGGGTCAGCGTTTCGTCCACATATTGTTAATGTCCACTAATCAGTAAATCTTATCATTGTCTCACCAAATAAGCTAGTGAATTTTCCTTTCAAGCTGTGAACTCGTTTCTATTGTGTTGTCTGGATTTCAACAAGGCTTTATGACATTGTATTTCATCCGACCTTTTCGTATGAACGCGTCTAGAACAGACAGGCATGTACTGCACGTAGAAGGAACTTTACTCGATATTTGTGTCAGCTCAACAAACGTCTATAGCGTGATATTTGCTAGTATCGCCTGTCTATTCTATGGGCTTTGTGAGCGAGTTGACCGTAAGATTATTCTAAAGCCGGTGAAGATGCGCATCAGTTTATGCTTCTTGCTTGCTTTTCATTTGGCCAGCCAAAGACAACAGGCCGTAGCGACTGTCTTCGCTACTATTTCAACGACAACAACAACAACAACGTCGTGTTTCCAGAAATCTCTCTATTTAGGCACGGCGGCGGTGCGGAACGAAGTTGAATTGCCTGTCATGGGGTGACTTATTTCGGCCATTTAGCGGTCACGCTGGAACGGAGCTGAAGACGGACAGCCAAATAAACTGTTTTGTACGTCCAGCTGGCACCTGCCGTTTGCGGATAACCATGACGGTACGAAAGGCAACAGCAACAACGAACTAGATGGGAAAGATTGACTGCATACAGTTTACCAGAATAGCATACAAAGCTATTCTGGTAAACTAATTAAACTACAAGATTGTAGAACAGTTGGACGGAGACATGTGAAACGAGACGACAAAGCGAATGCGCTACTCAACGATGCAAAAAAGAAAAGGTTAATTAGAGATATCGTTTGTTGATTGTTTTCTCCGTTACTGTTGCCATGCTCCCTTTGCACTGAGTTTTTTCCCAAATTGAAACCCGCTAGTTAATTTACTTCCATCCATTGTTAAAAACGCCAATGTATAAACGTACTCAGCTGAACAGTTTTTATCAGAGATGAGTATTCCGTCCGCAGAAACGATTCTTCATTCTCTAAGCGATATTTTTACATTTGGTGCTTCGTAACATTAGTATCTGGCAAAAAAATAGATGTTATACCACTGGCCAATGAATCAGAATAGGCCATCTTGGTAAGAGTTGGTATCCTTGTCGTATGAATTTTAGGAGCTGTTATTATCGGTAAACCGATCCGTAAAGGTAATGATTTCATTACACTGTTGACACTTTTACATATAGGTATCTATGAGCAGATTGTCTAGAAATGCGAATTTTACAACAGTCACACGATAATGTTATGACGATAACCGAGATAAATGACCGTCGGCACCTGCAAGCCTTTTGTTTTCACCGAAACAGGCGGATCTTAACTGTTGAACGGGGACCTTACCCAGTAGCTTCAAAATCAAGAAAGGATATTGAACGAGTCACATGTCTTCGTTTTTTGCCTGCGTGCGCTTTTTGTATTATTAAACGACGGTTGGCCTCCAAGTAAATTAAAAAAAAAACTGCTTGAAACAGAGCACCGCAGGAGCCACTTTCACTATTTTGTTAGTATATGATCAATTGACGCTAATTTCAGTTCGCTATTAACTAGAAAAGTGAGCGACATCTGCAACTACGAACTTCATAAATTGCCTCCAGAAAAATCCTTATAGAAAAGCTCGGTGAGGTTTGCTTTTAGTATTATGCAACGTCATCATAATCTTATGATTCACCTTTATTAAGAAACAACTTAGAATTTGTCCGAAATCGTAATATGGCCTTGAGACAAACTTGCTAGTACTGTAGATGAATTTATTACTCATGACACGTACTGTTGAATCTATCGGACAACTTTTCGTCGATATAATATTTGTTTAAGAATAAATTCGATAAGGAGTCACGAACCTACTTTTTGGACACGTACGGGTTGGTCGGCCGACACGAAAAGGATCATCATGCTTTCCAGTTTCGTGAAGAGTGACTGTAAATAAAATTTAGCTGAGCATGAGGCTATCGAGTCATATTTTATACATCATTAAATTACGGCAACACACACGAAGGAAATACTTATGTCAGCGCACGCTTCTTAGCGCCATCCTGCCGTGAGACGGCGTGACGCACGTCTGTTCGACTCGTGTCAATTAAACCATTCTATATCTGTTTTGACACGTAACAGAAGAAAAGCGTGCGAGCTATCTGGATTTCCCATTTGTCCTCCTGACCCATGTTTACATTTGCTTTGACCTATCGGCACCTCTGTAACATTTTGCCGGGCGAAAAGACAGCGCCTCCTAATCTGTTTGACAAGAGTGCTATTGTCTTGTGACGAAGGTCGGGCCTGCTGTAAACAACGCCGACAGTGTGACTCCAATATAATCATTGTAAAAGAACCAAGTTTAATACTTATCCTAAAGATACTCAGATCGAAGAGCAAAGGGCTGCCTTCGTTGTTCTGTAATAGTGTTTGGTTGAAGTGAAATGCGCTTTAACACCTGTCGGATGACAAACGACCGCGGCAATAACGATAGCAATTAACATGTTAAGTCGAGCATACATAAATGTACAGCAACAGAATAAAATTTAGAGTAAAAATAACTGTTGTTAAAATGACAGATGATAATGATGTAAATTAGATAATAATTTAAATTATATTATATTAAAAAAAAATTAAAAAGATAAAAATTGATATCTTAAGATGTAGTGATCTTCGAAAGGGGACAAGGTTAACAAGATCTCGCTCTGAGCTCAATCTAATAGATGAGTTTCTCATAGATGTAGTATAGTATAATATTCTTATAAATGAAATTGCTTAGTAAATCAACCGATGCAAGGTTATGACGACACAAGGTATGCTGGAAATTTTTTGCCGAGTTGTCTAACCTTGTAAGACTACAAGCACAACCTGTCCGGTTACCGAAAGTAGGCAATCTGTCTGCAGCGACCGACTGTTTTTGAGCTCCTGTTTCAGGACACGCGATCTTGGTAATGTATTAATTATGGCGACAATACGCAACAGTGAAGATACTTTATTTTTCTATGAACTACAGGATTCATTACCATGCAAGAGTTGTCTGGACATCTATCGCATTTTTTCGCTGCCGTAAATACTATCCATACTTGGAGAAATAAATTTTCGCGCGATGCAGCTGACAAGCATACTGCAGCCGTCCAGACTGCTACTTATCATAGTTGGTAGGCCTCAAGCAAGTGCCAGCTGGACAACCTAAAAATTTTCTATAGAAATGTATTTTTCGAACATTTCAGCTGGCGAAATTTTCATGCAGTAGTAGCAATGCTAGACAATTTCTATAGGTATAGTGTTCACAGAGGGCATAAAGTAAATAGTTATATTTGGTGGCTCCAACAAAGAAGAATTATGGTAACTGTACCGGTGGGTGTGGACGCACCGTAAAATCGTACGGAGCAACGAGATCCGAAGTAGCTCTCTTCACAGACCAATATGTTGATGTGATCAAAGGTGGACAACGTCTCGAGACGATAATCCAATTGAGCAGAAGCCCGTTATTGCGCTTTGATGATGTTCTAAGATAGCGGCGCTCGATTGACGTGTTCTTGATCATAAATAACATTGTATAGTACTTCCTATGTAACCAATACTGTGGGTACACAAAGAGAGGCCACCGAATGACTACTTTTTCTACGACTACATCAATGTTACGTAACAAGTGCTCTCTTATCTTGCAATAATCTATCTGAGAATATTACGGCGACCATAACTAAACATTAACAAATATGAGACTTCTCCGCTCAGTTTACTAAGTTGCTTAAAATTCTTTATTACATGAATTTTCTTTATTGACAATATTATTGCTTAATTGCGAATGGAAATATTCGGAAGTGGTGAAAAGGGGCTACGATAAATTCATCTTATTAAGGGACATAAAATAATCGAATTCTATTTACAGCGGGCCAGGCCGGGTAAATGTTAGTTGACCTCTCAAACGAAATGGTTGCCGGTCCCTCTCATTACCCCATTAGAACAAAGACCGCAATACCGTTTTGCATATCAACCACCGACGACAGCAAACGATATCGGCGTCCGAATCCGCTTCTGTAGCTGCAGGTGTTGTTCATCTGTTTGTTATTCTGTCACTTTTGCTGAACTCGGTGCCGATTCGTTTGTGAGGGTATCCGTACCCGCAGGTTTGCCTCTACTAAACAAACGATCATAATTCTTAATCACACACACAGAGACATACCACAGAGGAAAAATAGCTCTTGTTACAGCTGCCATAAGAGAACGCCGGCAAAAGAGCCCGGTTTTCACTGAGATGTTCAAAGCCTGGCCGAATTTGACTCGATGAAATCCAGCGTCATAAGCCCCTGTGAAGCCTTGGATCGTTGCTGTGAAGGCTCCCGCGTGGGTGTATCTGGAAGCAGGCATCAGTTACAACATACGATACAACCACGATCCGACATTGCCAAGTCACTGGCAATGAGCGGCTAGTTATTAACCAAACGCGAAAACTAGATACCATGGTACCAATGGTGAAGTCAAGCAGAAGCAGTTCTCGTTTGTTCCATTGGTTCATATCATCATTAAAAGCCAGCGCTTTTCTCTCTCCGGTGCGATACCGGCGCGATCTGTACGCGCATTTGTTCATCCGTTATGTACGTATTGTATACTGTATCACAACGGTAACAAATGATCATCGAAGATCCGAGTGGAAATAAAGTCACCACTTTACTAAACAACATCCAGGCTACTTGGGAAAAAGAGATTGATACTGACGAATTAGTCCTTTGACCTTCATTTTTCGTTACAAACGGGCGAGAACAGCTGGAGCTATGATTGTTGTACGTCTCGGCCCATAGAATTCTATCTGGTCGTCACACTTTGGAACATAATTATTCAGAAATGACAAAATATCAAGGAGTAGTAGTATGGTATGAGACACCGGAACTGTCCACAAGTTGTAGACAATATAAGCACAGCCTTCGTAAGATTTCATGGCACATATTTATTGGCTGTTATATATAGTGTATACGCGGAAGACAGATCTGAAAGTATTTTGAGGATTGATCCGATTGAAGGGTTCAATAATGTGCCCAAAGGAAAACGAATGACCTTACATAAATTCAAGAAGTTTTTTATTTAATGCACGGCCCAAAAATAGGTTCTACTAGATGGGACCACCACCCACAGCACCGTGAACAACTTTAGCTATTTAAAATCAGTGCTCTTTACTGTTATCAGTTGCCATGAAGCATTTAGAAAACTGGACTATTATTTTCCAATATCTGCAATTAAACAAAAAATGAAAACTTGAAAACTCATACTTATCACAATGACACACTTTATTCAGAGATTTATTACAGTGGTGCGCATATGCATATGACAATTTGGCTAAAAAATATAGAATTTTTTTAGTAATTGTTTAAATAGTCCATTGCTCTCTTATTACTTTTTTAATCAATTCAATGCTCATGAAAAATGACAGCGAGGTTTCCAGCCTTAGCTGGTCCACCTTTTTCAATACACACACATATTTATTATAAACCGTACGATTTATCGTATATACTTCATAATGTTAATTCATTGCATATAAAAGTGACTGTAAATTTTATTTATTTTATGCTATTTAAATTTTATAGTAAGTTCACAGGGAGAAGGTATGTTTTGGTCTTAATCTATAACAAACATCGAATGCAGAACATAGTATATATTTTAATTGCTATTTTAATCTTCAATGCGTATGCATACTTGTGATTTACGCACTTATTGTAAAATAATAGATTTTTAGAATTAAAAGCCATCGAACAAAAAACACGGCGCACCGTCTGTAGTTTTTATTACCACTTGTTTATACATAAAATAAAAAATTGGATCAAAATGCACAAATTTTAGAGGAAATTTTATCCGTTTGTCTTCAACTTTGCACGCCAAAGTCAATTCCTCCCCCAGAAAATTTGGAATCGACCGGTTGAAAGTTAGGACATTTTGTTGACTTACACATTGAGCTCGCATATGGAAATGCCCCGGGGTTCAAACACAACTACGAATAAAAAAACTCAATTTCGTAGGATCGCTGCTTTCAGATCGACTAAGGAAAACTGTAGTTTGTTCACAGAGGAAGACCATAAATCAGTTAAATTGACCAGCATGCATATACCAGTTCTCGGTTTCCAGAGTAACAAAACGTCTTTAATTAAGAACGTGTTAACAAACTAAATAAAACGCAGAGCTTCCTGCTTGAGTTGGCGCTCCAATGAAACGGTTTCTGCCACATTTCACAAATGAAAAGTTCCATTCTGTTCAGAAATAGCACAATGTCTATAGATAGTAGGTTTGTATAGACCCATTAATTCCGTCGTTTTATCGGGCTCATCGCGATTGCTGGCTCCTCATACGTATCACAGTTTTGTATTGACAGCAAACGTTTTCCATTTTTATCATAAAACACTTCTACGGAAAATGTCAAAGCAAATATGTAGATCTTATGGTAGGCAATGTAACCATCCCGAGCTATTTGCGATCGGACATAACCATCGGGCACCGGTACGAAGCACTCTCTCGTATCCATATATTTTTAACTATTTCATTAATTTGATTCGTTCACCCGCTATCAACCGTTGGACCATCTTCTGTGAGACAACAACGGCCATTCTGTCAGAGCTACTCAGATTAGAATTGCACCGAGATATTTCACACCTCACAGATAGAGGATATCGACGTCCTACTAGTTCAGTATTGCGGTTATTATGACGTCCTGTGGACCGATGTATTTGTTGTTCTATAACAATTACACTTATTGTTGTGACTACGACTCTGGTGTTGATTATGATGGTGGATAATACGTAGGCAGTTACGCATAAATAATCGTGCAGAAGAATTTTCGTGGCACTACCACGGCCATCATGGCAGGCTGTTAAACAAGCGCGTGATGTCTGGCATTGCTGCGGCTGCTCCACGACGCTTTGTGTGAGGCTAAATCGCAGAAGGTGATCTCCTTCTGTATCGCTTCTTGATGACTGATCGTCGATAGCAGTGATCTTGTGGTCTTCCCTTGATGACGCATTGGTAGATTTCTCAAGTAGGGCGGTACCGGCTACAAATAAAGCCGTGGTCGGTACCCCACAGCGCATACGCTTTTCCTGTCTGAGTAGCAGTTGGTTCACCTCAGAAGCACCACGGTCACTGCCTAGTAAGCGCTTTAGCAGTTTAGTGAGACTCTGCCCTTGCCCCTTTAGTTAACATTTTGGTGGCAATCGCAATTTCTCCTAAAGGACCCCCCGTCCCCTGTCCCCCGTCCCTGTGGTTCCATTAAGCCCATCCAGGTAAACAGCAAAAATGCATATACGAAGCTGTTATGTCGCGTAAGACGCACCTATACAGCTATGTATATATATATATAAGGGGGTCAACGAGGCAAGCATTAGTCTCTTGCGTTAGCTGTCTGAGGCAGGTTTCCTATAGTTGCTTCTTGTGTTATGCTCTGTTGTGTCTAGAGGTAAGAACGAAAATCAGAGCGACCTAGGCGCTGAAGAAGCACAGCGTAATTTGGAGTAACTAAAACTAAGTTCGTCGAGAAACTTCCCCGTCTTGGGGTAGCGGCAAGCAAATACAACAGTGGCAGCGTAATCTTTGGAACAGAAAAAAGCCATCATCGACCACATACCATGCGGCCTTCTGTGGTAGTGATCACTGTACTTATGGAGTTTACTATGATTCCAGTTTGCTTCTGTGGACACGTAAGAACTTTAGCTTTCTCGAGTACGTTATGATTGCACGATTGAGTTTATAGCCAATAAATTTAAAGTGCGGTAATTGTAAGCAAGTACGTCAAACAGCAGAGAAGGTTCCAAGGCTCTTGAAATGAGAACACGTTCTATGTACGTAAAATATGTGCCAAAGGCTTCAAAATGAAACAAAGTGTGTGGACATGGAAAGGTCAGTAGAAAATTCCTAAGCGAGAGAGGCTTTTAGCAGACTTCGATATCATTCATATCGTGCAGAATTACCTTATTGACTTATCAAAAGATCTCGCAAGTAGCTCAAATGTAAAGAGCTCCACTTCAGTAAATTCGAATTAAGTACACTCTCATATTAATTAGTGCACTAATCGTTGACAATCTTGAAAACTCACGTTTTTTTAATTATTTGCTCAGAAGAGTGTGTTGACATATACATAATTCGTTGATCAGGGGCACAGATAGAGCGCACTCTACATACAAGATATTCAGTTAGTGATTAGGAAGCTAGCTAGAAAAATGTTTTTTGGGCGATTTTAGTTTATTCTTAGCATATACGAAATCGAACAAATTTTCTAAATCATATTTAGTTCCATGAATGATAATGTTCAGGCCGTGTGCGGCATTGACCTGATAAAACCCTACACTGCTTTGGAATCTCTGTACAACACTTATGCAGCCTCGCCATAACGACTTGAGCTAAAAAATAAGCCTTATGGAAACCTCAGTCTCGTTCACATGCACACTGACTGTGGAAAACACTATTTCTATTTAAACATGCTACACAATATGACTGCTTCCGGCGAGTTTCGTCTGAAGAAGTAGCCAGTTTTATTGACACAACACCGCCATAATAACTGTGAATTTTCGATTTTCTGCACGCAATTTATGTAGAATGGCGGTGGTGGTGGTGGTGGTGGATGGCATGACGGAGATAGCGGGGGCTTTAGTTCGTCGTTTAAGAAAGTCGGGCCTCCCGTCGTTGGCAGCATTGGGGGTCACGGCGGGGGAAGCTGGTCCAGTGGCGAATATGGGTCTGGTCACGGCGGGGGAAGTTGGTCCAGTGGCGAATATGGGTCCGGTCAGGGCGGATCGTCAAGTGGAATCGGAGGTAATAAACAGTACGGAAGCGGGCATTTTGGCAGCGGATGGTCAGATGATCAGAAGGGAGGCCACGGAGGTGGCTGGAAAGGTGCGGAAGAGTGGAGGCCGTACCACTTCGGCTACCAGACACATTCGCATGATGCAACCACTGCTCGTGAGGAGAAAACTGATGAACATGGCAGGGTGTCGGGATACTATACACTGATGACTGCTGATGGACGAAGCAGGAAGGTAAGTATGTGCTCACTTTGTTTCCTTTTTTTTTTTAAGTACGTGTTTGAATTTTGTTTGATTATCGAAGAGGGTCTACACCAACGGTACATTCGTAGCCGCACGAACTTTGCACGTATCGAACGTGTTTTTTTATCGTGATGTTGAAGGTGTCGTATGTGGCCGATGAGCATGGTTTCCGAGCAAAGGTTGACACCAACGAGCCAGGAACTGCCAATGAAGATCCTGCTAGCGCCCATTTTCGGTCATCCGCTCCAAAGGTCGTACACTCTCCAACAGCGCATAAAAGTGGCCATGGAGAATGGCAAGACCAGGGTCAGAGTAGTTGGTCTGGAGGACATTCGAGCGGTGATGAGAGAGTACGTGGCGGTTGGCAGGTAAACAGCTGAACAAAAAGCGTTTATCATCTTTTTCTAAGTGGTATAAAGAATTCTCATTCATATTCGCTCATCAGTACCGAAATAGCAGTTTGTACAAAAATCGCAAAGCTGCCGTGAGCTCTTAAACCGTCTCTGTTGACAAAATCAAATTGTGAAACTCATTACCAATTATAACCCGATAGGTGAACACCAACGTTAATCACGGAGGTTGGACTGGTGGCAACCGTCAAGACCGGAACAAGAGATGGTAAAGGCCAATTTGCTAAGCCCGAGAAGAATAATTTACCAGAGTGCTGTGCCGGAATCTCTGAACGGTGAACGATTCATTAGCATCCGAGAAATAATAATTTTATTATGCTATTTTACTTAACCAGATCAAGTATTCAAGCTAGCCACTTATAGCTTAGCTACCTGGTGTGAAAAAAACTAAATCTTCCATCGACGTTCTTCTGACAGTGAAAGCTGAAGCCACCGCCCGTTTGAGCGTGTTTCGAACTTGTATTCGTACGATCTAGGTTGCTACTACAAGCAACGCCATAAAATCATATAGTCTAAAACTGCATAGAGCGTTTGTTAGATGAATCCCATAAGGGATTTGGGTAATGTAGCAGAAATGCACTCAATGTTTCAAGACCTCTACTTGTACATTAGTTAACGTTTCGACTTATATGTGGTCCATCGTGCATATGGGCGTACATTCGTTAAATTTCGTGCTCGTCAACGACGAAACTTTGAGGACTCGTACTCCCTGCATGCATGCACCGTAACCCTTTGCATCCTGTTGTCGTTACGTTTCACGAACGTCATTTGGTCTATATGTAGTTGAATAAAACTGCTCTATTAACAGAAGACCTTTATGATATATAGTCTTTGAAACGCTTGCTTATGAGCTATGCGCTCGTTCCTAGATGGATTTACATACATACATACATACATATATATATATATATATATACGAAAAATAATTATAGCACAGGCATTTCAAAACGCACGACTAATAACAATACAGACAACGTCTATATCGAAGAATAGTTGTAAAAACAAAGCCGACCGGAAACAAATCGCTATACACGCTGGATATGAATGTATTATGAAGCGAATAAATTGGACATATATGCACACATAATCCTATAATTGTGTGTTCAATATTCGGCAATACAGTTTTTATTGCTCTATTTGAAAAAACTCTTATACAATGGAACCTCTCTCCAGCTTTTGCTGTGTAATGCTCTATGCTATCGTGACCTGCTTACCTGTAACGGCCTTAAAGCGAGCATCATCAATATAGAATTGTGGATATCTCTTCAATTATACAGTATTTGAATAAGGTGTTCTTATTCATTACGATGAATATGACTCCTTTTTCTGTTACTTTAGACTATTTTAATTCAATGTTTGTTTTTTAGCTGTTGCTGGTTTAAGCTTTGTGATGCAAGATAGATTTTCCTAAAATTCCCACCATTGTAACTTACATCTACTTGGGAAGAATATTGCTAATATTATATTTAGTCACCATATCTACTTCCTAAAACGTGTCGATGTGGGCTGGAAGGCAGTTGTTCCCTGTTCCTCATGCGCTTAATAATCTGCTGTATTAGTGTACGAAACCCTTTGCATTGTTAGACTGAAAAAACACCCAGTTAAACACACTAAAAGATCTGTTTTGTAAGCCATCGCATTACATTACATGATTCAGATAAGTTTACATGGTAAACTTATTTGATCGCCCTTGTCGGCGGGGGTCTCCGGCTCTGTCGGTTAATGGCTTCGTTACTCTACCACTTACTCTGCCGATATATACACGCTGTTTAGCGTAGTCAGTGGGGCTAAGCATCCGTGATATCCATAATAGACCTATAAAGCCAGCTTACCAATTTTTGAGCACTTAATGATTTCCAGGCTACGAGCATTGGCAAATTTAGCGTTCACCATATAATGGCACAAAGCGTACGAAATGTAATGTTCCCCACAGACGGAGTCTTCGATTTGTCTCAGCTGTTGATGAAGCGCACACTCGTATACTAACAAACCCGATTAACGAAGGCCTCAGTGCACTATCGATCTATTCAGTTAGCGAACAGATATACGCTCGGTAAACTGTAATAGAGTTCAGTGACCATCAGTCTCCGTACCAATAGAATGTATGCTCAACCATTTGAAAAATCCTATTGGTTTAAATCACATTCGGACTGCCCGTATTTTACAACGGTTATATTTTGAAATACGTCTGCTGTGTTTTAATACTATAAATGTATTTTGCATTGAATTAAATACTACTAATCTGATTTGGTCATTTCATTTCGATCTCATAACGACGAAGCTATGAATGATCAACAAGAGTTTCAGTCAACACAGTGTCCGAAGGTCTTAGATGCGAACACCAATGGGCTGTCTATGTCAGCATGTTATAAAGAATCCACTGATGTTCCAGCTAGACCCGCAGATGTGGCTTCTGGACAAGCACAAGCACCTGGACAGGGGATGTCAAAGGCCGTTTCATGGTCTAACATTTATCAAGAATCAGCAAACACCCGAAATTGTTCAAATGTTACGGCATCAACAAATACTGCCGCAGTGAGTACTCTACCCCCAGCAAAAGATTCAGGAACTCTTCGAGCTCCTCCTATCGTAGGAAGTACCAATATAGAATCACCTATGCCTGCCGCGCTACCACCGGTTGTTTCTGCATCTTCTGTGCATTTCGAAATGACGACTCCGTCTCCAGCGTCAACATTAGCAACAACGACTATCCCTGCACTGTTTGCAGCCCCTGCAGCCATAATGGCCCCAGTGTCTACACCGGCCTCAGGAATAGCTTCAGTTTCGGGTCCGGTTCCTACCACGGACCCTGCCCCGGTAGCAGCTCCTGTTCTGCCTGCGGTTTCAGGCATGCCTCGAATTCAAAGTCCGACGTCAGCATCCCTTCCAACGTCGACTTGCTGTGATAGTGCAGGCGTTTTACCCACCCAAACGTCTACTTTAAATCCGGCTGTTGCTCAAGTTCAGACCGTAGTACCGCCTGAAACCCACTCTGCAGGCTCGATACCCATGAAAATACCGATGTTACTAAAGAACTTAGAGCCAATGATGCTTAACAGTGGTTTTAACAATACTGCGACTGTTTCATCCCCAGGCACTCCATCGACGTTGCAACCACCTGACACATTAGCGGAAAATTTGAAGGATGGAGGCCAAAGAGCCAACTTGATGGAAGCTCCACAGGCCTGTGTGACGAACCTCAAGCCAGAAACAGGGAAACTATCTAACGCGGCCGATGTCAAATTGCAGATGTCCAGTTTAAGTTCACCAATGGGATCCTCGATTGAGGAAGGGATTGAGGCCAAAAATGCAGTTGGACTTGCTCGCCCTCAAGTCTATGTCGCCCGTACACCTTCCCGTCATAATTCGCAGGACCTACTAATGGTACCAATGATTTACAATGCAGCCAAGTCTTCCCAGCAGCAAGTTTCTTATCCGTCATCAGTTCCGCCATCTCCAGAAAGGCTCGCTCAAGATGAAATTCTTCATGGCAGCAAGGAGAATCAGTCAATCTTAAGGGAACCGCGCAGGCCCTCCTGCACGTACATGAATTCATCCATAAACGAGCCAGCTGTGTCTACTCTCCCAGTGGTTCGTTTCGCTGGTGTCAAGAAAGTTCAGTTTAGCAACAGCGGGACTTCCCTGCCGCGTGTCAAATCTGCTACGCCTTCAGACCTCAATGAAGTTGTGTCTCGTAATTCAAGCAATTCCAGTTTATCGGGAGTGTACGATGAACGGCCCGAGATGATCATACACCATCAGCTGATGTTACCAAACCCTGTGATCGTTCGTCGGACTTGTGCTCACAAAAATCATTTTATGTCTCTCGAGCTGTTCGTCTTCTTGGTGGTGATTCTGAACCTCGTCTTTCTAAGTTCGGTCGTCTACCGAACTCTATACGATGAACTCAAGCCTGCCCAAGAGCACGTCGTAAAGTGGACTGCAACGGTTTGAAAACGATTTTAATCTTTTGAAAATGTGAGGCACGGTTTCAGCGTTCGGGTACCCGATAATGTGCTGTTAAAATATGCACTGAGTAAGGCTTTTAGGTTCAAATATAAGATCAATTCTACTGTTTCTGTATTGTGGATTGCTTTTATATTGTATTTATCTTAATTTTGGCCACATACACATCCACAATAGAAACATACTGTAAGGTGTTGATCTTTAGAATGCAGACCTTTAGATAAGCACCACGATATAATCAAAACGAATTGCCATCGAGTCCCTATTGCTCAATAAGCCATTTCCATGGATTTACGATTTGACGGATTCACGGACAATCGATATCTCGCAGTTATTCTATATTTATAGTGAAATAGAACTCTCTACATACTACCCAACCGTTGAGTTTTTGAGTCGTAGTGTGGACTCATTCGTAGACGAACGGTGAGTTGGTGTTCGTAAAACCACGGAAATCTACAGACTGTTTGATGGTGTGCCTATTGGAGCCCGTATATATGTAAGCACTGGACGCTCACGGATAAGCTGTTTAAAATATCGAAATGACTAAGTGAAAGGCAGTGGCATAAGTGAAACGTCGTCGTATTGCAAAACTTAGCCTTCTATGGCATAATTTACAATTTAAAAGAAGTTGAAGAAAACACAAAGAAAATAGCGCATCTATAATTGAGGGTCAAGCAGGATAGCGTGAAGTTGCGTTACTTCCCACTACGTAGAAAGAGCTTGTTTCTAACAACAGGAGGCTGAGATTTGAGAGCTGGAAGCACAAACGCTGTAAATTACCAACTACAGTAAGTAGATATATTGGGAGCATCTACCACAAATATTCATAGCAGCATCTGCCAGAGTAAGTTAGTAGCTAACTAAAACTTGCCTTTATTACTGAGAACTAGAATACATATTGGCTATGTCATAGGAGTTAATTCAGAGAGCACTATACTTTTTCAATAAAGAATATTTAAATCAGGAATGAGGTATCTGGTTGATTTAACTTGTGGTCAGCGACCCTGCACTTTGGGCTTAAATGTGCTTGGCTCATCGGAATTGGTATTTACTGGTTTTCGCGTTCAGAGATTTATACACCAGAACTGACGAATACCTAAATGGTTTTCCGATAGGTATTCACCTGGAAGTACGACGCCACCGTAAAATCGATCTTCATTTTTTTGAATACCACACACTCTGAGAGCTGGAATAGAGTGAACTGAACATTGCTCAATTTGTTTATGCTTAGTTTTTTTACTGCTACAACCAGTAGCGCTTGTTGAAGTTTTCAAGGAGGTTCATATAGCGATCAATCTTCTGTGGACAGGCCAAACGAAGCGTTATTTTTTTTTTTATGTACAAGAAGAATATGTGGAAAAGGATAAACTGAGAAATGCTAAATTGTTTGCTTAGCGTATAGGAGGTTTTTGAGCGCAAATACGTGTCGAAATGTCTGCTATAGAAAGCACTGTTGCATATGGCCTTTAATTTTCGGGATTTTGTCGACTTGGGATAAGTCGATAATTTTTTTGAGTGGTGCATCATTTCGTCGGATATAGCCTGTAATTTTTATTATAAAGTAGTTTAATTGTTTTTGTGCTTATATATTTCTTTCTTTCTTTCTTTCTGAAGTGATGGACATGTATAGCTGATTCATGTCACTCTGGTTTCTGGTCGAAAAATGAAACAAGTAGTTGTTGTAATACGTACCGTTTCTATAACACTCAAACAATCAAACCTAGAACACATGTATATATATATATATATACATCTCGATCACTTCAGAAAGAAAGAAATATGATTGATATAAAACACATTAGTTGAGCTCGACTTTTACGTGAAAAGCTAATAAGAATGATTCCACACATTTCAGTCTAAGAACCTGAGTACCCTATTATTATTGGGATACTGGTTCGACATCAGTCCATTATCCAAATCGTGAGCGTTCTGTCAGAAAGAACCATGCCCAATGAAGAGTTGTGAATTCCGTTAGTATTTGTCTATTACGTTTCCTTATAATTTAAAATTCTAAAATGTTATATATAGGGCTGCTAGACGCTGACTAGTAGCTAGTGATTGTTTCTGCCCATAGCTACTATAAGCTGCCCTAATTTCGCACATATTCTGTAGTCCACACACCACCGGCTGTAGTCGCAATTGATAGTCAAAATGACTCATCTAAATTATAACTTTACGTAGTATATGATTGTAGAAAAAATTCTCTAGGTGTGAAGTCCCAGTTAATTTAGCTAGAATTCCACATGCAAACATGTCCTTGTTTCGTCCAGGTAACCGTTTGAGGTTAGGTGTTTCTCTGTTTGGAAATTCAAGCGAACTCCATTGTGCTTTTGAGGAAAACATAAGCACGTGCGTACGCAAACTTTTTCTCTCCCGTTCACAGCCACTTCGGTAATTATGCTTAAGGTAATTAGGTTTTCATTAATTGATGTACAAAAAAAAGTCAGACATTCCTCTGAATTGTAATATGCAGCAACGAAGGTCGAATTTTAATGGAATATATACGAAGCTAAGCAACTGTAATAGGCTGATCTGCAGTGGTTTTGAAACCTTATAGTAAAAACAAATACGGCCAGTAAATATCGTATCCAACCGAGCCTACTAGTTACGTATCATTTGAACTTCTGGGAAAGCGGCTTCGTCTAAGGTACCACGGATAAGTGCTCCTCTTCTTGTACGTATAGCAAAACAGGTAATAGCAATGGATGGGTCGACAACCATTCTCGAAGTGCAAAACATTGTCGATTTTGTATTTCATATATATATATATATATACACCATCACTTTAACTCACCGATCTTTCTCGTAATGTTGGAATATTAGCCGACACATATGTATGCTATAGTGTAGTTACATTATTGGATGTTTCCCAGTAGCAGACTTTCTCGTACTCCAGGCGCTTGTTTTGATTGACTACAGACGAACGAGCTTAAAGGTAATGAAGTTATAATAATAATAACATAGAGCAAACGACAACTGATCCAACATGCCTTTCAGATGTTTGCGTTTCGAATACTTATATGTCTAATGGTCTCTGCTCTTGTCACGAGAGTAGCAAGCAGCCCTTCGAAGATAATTTGGGTCTACCCACATGAAGAGCCCGGGAAACAGACCAGAAACAAGCCAACGAAATCGTCAAGCCTAGTTTGGGTTCGCAACATGCAGAGCAAAGTTCTTAAGCAAAATGGAGTTGATCATCCCATAGTATCCACGAATAAATGACTTCTAGTGTTATATATGTACAATGATCGTGTGGTCAGCTGTGAACTGTTTCATAATGTAATGATGCAGATCCATTTACAAGTTTCAATTCTGCAATGACAGGTGGCACAACTTGCTCCATAACGTTATAGGGATTTGCGTGAACTTTTTCGGGTAGAATAAAAACGTGTGTCACCTAAAGTCAAATAGTTCAGGCTCGTCAATTATGAAATAACTTCATTTACCAACAGCATTTCTTTGAACGTCTTGATGGTATTCTTTCAACGTTTTTACATCAAGCAACTAATGTCCAGCATCCGTGCACGGTAAATACGACGGGTTTATACTATAAATACCATGACATACATACGCAGTTGATTTTCTATCTCATGCTTTTGTAGAAGATAAGCTGAGTACGCTTTAATGTTAACAGTTTATCTGATCACGAAAAAATGTACCAGATGACGTTCATGCCACTGTGTGATACTACGTTTGTCTCAATGAATAATTTGTCCTACCCAAGACTGGTTGTTAACAGAATGTGTCATTTTAGTGAGTCTCAGCCACAAATCCGAACTTCTCAGTAGGGCCATTGCTCAGATATATGTGAAAACCTATTACTACTTCATATATTAACTACTAAACATTTTTGTGGCGGCTCGTACAATCTAAATAACACAACAGGTCATGATGTTTTCATATTTTTATATTGATGATTAAATTATAACTACAACACGTTAATAGCACATTGAATAGAATAGCATCGCGTTTGTGAGTATTGGTCTATAATTTAATAGCTGTACTGAATAGAAAGTTGGGAATGAATGCCCACTTAACGATCGCCAGCGGCAAAGTCTTTGATATTTTGAAAACTCTCGCAATACGACACCCGCTAAAATTTAAAAGATCGCGAGAATGGATGGAAATAACTATTTTTTTTTGGTAACTGCTAAAATTTATAAATTACGGAGATTACTTAAAATAGGTCTCTTGCAAGCGACCAATATTCCCTATTATTGTAGAGCTCCTATTTGCTCCATATAGCAAAATGGCTTCTGTAGAGACTAGTTCCGAATGTATCGTACTAGTACATCATCTTCCGGACGGTCCAACTTGGTACGGAGGTCGATACTATCGCCTAACCAGGTTAGAATGGTGCATATGAGAGAAATACGGGATTGCCTCTGCAGTTCCTCGATCCCCCAGTTAAATATTTCGCGTGCAGATTTCGGCAAGAAAAATCAAAGGACGCTTGTGAACCGACAAACTAATTCCAGTAGATATTAATGCAGTTATCTATGAAATGTCGTCAACTTCTCAACACTTACGTACATATTCATCCATCAAACCCTTTAACTCCAATAGTGAAGACAAGCTCAAGCTTCACATGTGTTCTTATAGTTGACTCCAGTCCACGGCTGAGCATCATCTTAGCGAACGTCAATGTAATTTCTATCAGGGTAAATCTGTAAAACATCAACACGAGCCGGCACACAGTTGTAAGCAGGCATATTACTGTACAAGCTTAACCCCGTAGACTTCACTAGCTTTCAGTGAAAAAGACCAACATGATATTACACCACATTTTTCCTAATTTTTTAATAGGTTAAAGGTCACTGTTTGTGAAATAGGTTGAAGGTTATTATTTCATCAAAAGGGCCCGGATTGAACTGCATCTGTTAACTGAAAGCGTATTTGCTGAAAGCTCGACCTGATAAATCGATCAGCGAGCCAAGAGCAGGTAATCTTCATATTATACCAACATGGATCCTGTTTTAGAGTTTTTGTGCTACATGCAAAAACGCGGGCGGCAAAAGGTAAGTTCACAGTTGAAGCAAAAATAGGAAAAACTTACATTTAGTTACTTCAAACAATGAACATACCTTGTATTTAGCCATCCATGTATTTACGTATGGTTTAACAAGCACATAAGTTCTTAGGTTGCTATTCTATTGTATGACGCTGAGATTATGCTGTTAATAGTCTAGAGGCGCCTTGATGAAGACTTGTGCACAGTGATGAAGCGTATAAGCTCGCTTCATCACTGTGCACATTCATGAGCCACTCCCAAATACTTGTGAAGCTACAAAATCAACGTGGCAGATGAGGAAGTTTAATCAAAGTTCTTTTTCTACAGCAGTTAAGAAGCACATTTAAGGAATATTTACACCTTTATTTTTTCCTATCCCCGTACTTAACTTGGCATTGTTCAACTAAGGAACAGCTCCATATAGGCAATGTGTTCAGCGGATTTAGCAGCACAAAAAAAAATGCAATTTCTTTCTTCTATAGCTGTTTCCTATAAATATAGGCAAAAAGAATATACTTTTGTTAACGAAACAAGCTCATCAGGGTGAGTGACGATCATACAACTGCTTTTTCCTCGATAACCAACAAGATTAGAACGATTAATTACATGAAGATATAACTATGCTAAAGACGAAGCTTGGGATCCTAAGGAAAGGCAGCGTTACATGGTTTAAAGCCCAGTGCATCTTAAGGTTTCTAGTTAAGAGAGTTTGGTCAGTTTAAGCTAGGTAGTATTTTTGCCTTTATCTGCAAGGTTTATAAATTAATATGTTGAACTATAATCTTTTCTGCTGACCTGTTTAGCTGTCTTGAATTGTTATTAAATCGTTTATTATTCTGCCAGTGCTACGCGCTCATGTTAACACATATAGGCTCCACCTGCTGCAGAGCTCAACAAAAAGGAACCTAAATAATTGACTTATATAAATATACCTATAAATAACTCGTCTACATTGTTTTCAAATTAATTCGATCTAATGAATCACTGGGTAAAACTTGGTCGACAAAACAACCCGTTATTCTCGGTAACCGATGCTAGTGTTAGATTAAGCCAAACCAAAAGCAGAAGTTGTATATCTTATCTTACACTTACCTACAATATATTCGAAAACAAAGATAAATCCGAAATATTTATGAAATTATCCTTATCCTTATTCTTTTACACCACGATTTGAAAAAAGCGGGTCCACTTTCCTCATGTGCTTTCAGGCTTCTCATACCTTCTATGAACACTGGAAACCCCATATGCGGCTTCTGATAACGTTAGCTAGTGCTGTTTCACAGACGGAGCAGTGCATTCGAGACGGCAATCTTTTAAAATTTTTCAATCGAGACATGGTCATCCATATTCATCAACTGAATGAAAAGCTCATCAATAGTTTACAGCTTATATTTTTAAATACACCATTCGATCATCTTATGTACTCATAATGTCATCTAGTTTTAGCTACTTCTTCCTTTTCCAATAATATTCTTCCTCTAAGTGAAAAATAAAAATAACCATGTTTTTGTAGATTCTCTATATTTCATTATTGAAATACTACGTATTTGTAAATTGAATAACAGCAATGACAGGTCTTGGCGGTAAAAGCAACAGTATGTCTTTTAGTAAATATTCAAAAAATGTGATAAGTACTCAAAAAGATAAAACCAATTGAATATGACGCCTGTTATCGATCTATAAAAGGAATATTTAGAAGTGGTTCAAGGTCGATAAAAGTAGCAAGAGTTAGAAAAACTTGGGTCATTGATTTGGGAACAAAGTTCACACCGTGTATTTTAGTGTTCAACTCCAACACCTCCTTCAGGACTCATAGTAGTTTACTGCAAAAGCTAGCGGCGACCACTTTTGCCTGTTTATAATGCCCGTTTGCATATGTTGTCTATCTGTTAAATTGGCAGAAAGTAACAGCGGCTTATTTCTACCTAACAAAGTGCAGAGTTTCACAGGAGGCCTAAAAACAAATTAATTAACTATGTTTTAACTATCACTCTATCTATCACCTTCTCTCACCCCCTAAACTAATTTATTTATTCTCTAAATTTTCAGGTATAGCGTTGAAGAGCTTGCCCAGCTAGATACCTTTCTCAGTTTGCTTCTGACAGGTGAACTTCTATGAATTTCAGTAGCCCGTGACTGAAAAAATACAAGTCCGCAAAAGCGAGTCTTAGAGAATATTAAAGATATAAGAGAATTTACTATTCAGACCTTTGCAATAAAAGCTTTAACGTCACTAAAAAGGATGACTTTGCCTCGTTTATGGTGTCTTTTCTGATGGAGAGGGTCTTTCTTTGCTTTGTATTGACGCAAAGACGTTAGTGGGCATCAGCTGTGCATTGCATGAAGTGCTGAGAGGTAATTAAAGGACATTTTCTGTTTATGGGGTACCCGGACTGCTAACTCGTGACAAAAGCAAGCGGCTGAACGAAATTACCGAAAAGAAGAAGTTGAATATTGACAGCCCGAAGCTTATCCAAAATAACCTAGATGGACTGAACGACATTATGCTTTATCATGATTTAAGTCACCATAGTATTTGTGAATTAATATTCTTTATTCAGCAGTTACCTGCGGTCCATTTGGCCTACCTTCTAGATTCAGACGTTTTTTTCACTATGCAAAGAACTTGAGGCATTTTTAATTATCTCTAATATTATTAACGATAATTAAAAATCCTTTTCTGCTTGTCAGGTTTGTTATTCTAGCACATATTTTGTCTTTACATTTGCCGATATCGGACCATAAATCCGCGTATGTTAGGCGCAAATAGCAGCTACTGAGCTAACCTCCACACATGAATATTTATAAACGGTAATTGGTGGTTACTTGGACGTTTGCAGACGGTTTTTTTAGTTGAACCAGTAGTTTCTGCAAAATACCATATCTCGCATCTGAAAAGAAGTCGGTGGTTCAAGCGTTGCCAATAACATACGCTTATATATTATATACAAGTGTGATTAACACAGTGAATAATGCCTTTCAACAAGCATAAGCACACTCTTCCATGCAAATGCTACCGCGTAGTAAAAAAAACAGCCTAGATTCTGTAGTATTATGTGTGAGCTCTAAATTATACTGCCTACAAACGCCGCATTTTTCTCATGAAACTAAAATATGTAATAGTTTTATTAGTATATTTCACCAGTAGTTGATCAAAATGAATGAAAAATTAAACGTTTGTTGTCCCATTGTATTAACCTCATTCCCATACAGTTACTCGTTACTCGCGTCTAAACGTGATGGGGCCAACCATTTGATGAAATGTCAGAACACAGAAGGCCAACCTAACCTTTGAGAAAGCCTGCAGGACTCTGCAAGCCATTCAAAGTATTCTGCTTTCATGTGAACTACGTGCGTGAGAGTGACGGTAAGATCATTCGGTTTCAAGCGTACAAATAGGCTTGTCGTTGTCATTTACACATCCGTTCATTAAATTGTCCGTATGTTAGGATTTCTTTCCACGAAAATCGCTCATTAAGCTTAAGAATTAAGTTCATGCTTTTGCAGGTTATCATTAATATTAATTAGCAAGATCGCCGTTCAATCTCTACGCACTATCCAAAGTCTTTCAAACTTTTTTGCGTTTTTATTCCACAGTTCACAATGCCTTGAGATAATCTGACACTGAAAACGTCAATATTGCACCACCAATCCGAGTTGTTTGTCCTTTGATGAATCTTGGCTGTTAGTTAAATCAAGCTACTAACTTCATGATTTAATTCAAATGTAAATATCTTCAAGAGCTACTTTAACCAACAGTATCGCAAATGAGTGTAATCTGAGACTGATAATGGCAGGCATGTAGGAAAGCTCCTGTTGGATTTCGAAGCCGGTTTTGTTCTTATGCTTAATATTGCCTTGCAATTCCTGGCATGGCTTGTCCTTGCTCTCAGCATGACGCCTGTCATCCAACTGTGAATACCTGACGTCCGTAGGCAATAGAAGGAGATCATTACGTCTTTTTTTCGGATTCTTTTACCCTGCATCAATTATTTTTTTTGCAGTCCTGCGCAGTCCATCCTTTAGGAGTCTTCATCGTCTCTTTGAGTTTATTTGTCGCCGTAACTAGAAATCCAAAAGATAGAGGTGAAATCTGAAACAAGAGAACTGAGTTGTACGTAACACGGAAAATACTTGAAAATCTTACCCATTATCAGATCGTAAGTATTTAAAGCACCATAATCGATACCCAATTCAATCCGGCAGATCAAGTCAGTCGTGAAAACATAAAAGAGCTTATGCATATTGAGCCTTACACCGTGATTTTTCGGATGGTTTATGTGCTCCTCAATAATATATATTATTATGCTCTCATATTCTCTCACTCGTAGCTTTTTTGCTATCAGCCAGTCTGTCGGCAATAAACGTAGTACGGAGCTGTTTGTTGAAATTAAATTTACAGTACAGCTTCCACCACCGAATACAAAGCGTCGATAAAACACTAATGAAAACATCTGTCATAATGTCCTTGTTGCAGACAACAGAAATAGTGGAAGCTCCGTTGGAATGGTCGTAGATGTCGCTATTTTTTTCTTCGCACGATGATACACGGACCGCAATCCCAGCCACAGATCAAGATCATTCCCAAGTAGCAGGTTCAATTCCGACTTTTGTATTTCGCGCTTTTTAGAGACGTTAGAAATGCTCCGTACGACGCTGTAGCCCGACGTACAGTAATGCGGCGGAAACAGTTAGTACATAGGTGAACCACATGCGTACCTTCGAAACCGACCCACAGAGATTGTCATTGTTTCGGAGATACTTCACAGAGCCAATGCGTTCTTTCTAGCTCACTGTGTGCAGTAAGTGTCTCAGCTAACAACAAAAAAAAAAAAGCTTTCGAACACCCCGAGTTTCCACTAGTTTCTAAATATCCTTAATTGATAAGACTGTCCTTTCAAAGTTCGCGATGATTAAGGCAAGTTTTAACACTCTATTATTGAAGATCCGATACGCTTTTTCTCAGTAGTTCTATTATTACCTGTTTTACTTTATTTTATGCGTATGGCTGCGTGCGCTAACTGTTAATGAAGTAAATCGTGAACAAGATTCGTTCTTTTAAATAATAACACTTATGATTGGTATTATTCTGTAAGGCGTATGAGAGACCTAAAAATGATAGTGAAGATCTTGACGTTTTGTGTGATGCATTCACACTTAAGAATGATCGAGGGTAAATTAAAAGAATTGAACCGATTAAAGTAAAAAATACTAAATATACATACGTCCATACAACTGTGACAGATTGCAGCCTAAATACAAGGTTATGTTGCTTCGAATGACTAAAATCTGATTATAACTGTACCTAAACAGTTGGTAATATTCTTGCGTCGCTATACAACGGAATATATTATGATACGTTATAATCAATTTTTACCTATGATACAAAGTCCAGGCGCCATTTCACTAAGCGTCATTTACTCAAGAACTGCTTTTAGATTCATTGAAGTCGCGTAATTCGACGATGACACATGCTTTAACCCGTTTGTTAATCCCACAAGATCCCACCTAATTTTAAGAATATCCTAGAAGAGCGACTTTAAACTACTTGAGCTAATATGTTTACTCTTGTTAATGTTGTTATTTATACCAACGTTTGGTCAATAAACAAAATTCTTATTGGCTACTGCTTCTTAATTTAACAACAAAATAATGAAAATGCCGATTTTGAAAAATGCTGAAATGAATCGATGTGTTGATTATTCGTTTTTTTTTTAATAGACGCCATTTCTTTCATCGGCCAAATCAGAGATTGACTTAGCCATTCCTTCGAACAGTTTTCAAGGTTATAGGTCGCACAGAGGAGTGATCCATAGCTATTCAAAGCACTTTTCATTTGATCACATATAAATCTCACTGCATGAAGTCAATCGTGGACAAGTACTGAAAACTGGAAGATTATGCAACACTATATTATTCTACTCCTATCGTAAACGCGGCTTTTTTGAAGAGGACAGAGGTTACACGAAGCCATTATGTTTTACGGTGGTTTGGGATACTTTAATCCGTTAAAGAAAGGTTAGACTAATCCGTAGAAACTATTGCTAGCACATTGCCAATTCGCAATTGGCCTAACCTAACCGCTTATTTGGTTAACCATAGATAAGTATCCTTTTTTGGCTTTGACTTACACGCTAAGCACTCAAGCTTCTCTTTGCAAATATCATTTCAATTTGATATAAACCCATTGAATCAGCATTACATACATGGTGTCATAAACAACGTTGCACTACAGGAAAGCTTTCTCCAAGAATAAGGTGAGTCATACATACTCTAAAACAGCAACTCTAATAGCATGGCCAAGATTTTATGTTGATGCTACAAGCTTTACGTGCCGTTATACCGCCGCTGAAAGCAACCTAATTGAAAAATGACAGATCATTCGTTTAAGCTGTCTAACATGGGTAACACCGAACAAGGTGCTAATGTCTTGAATCTACAGCATTGATGCATAGGGGCACGTGCGTGCCATTTGCGGCCTTGCTCAAGTGTATTGTATAAAATAGAATACAACATTATATGTTGTATTCTATTTTACACAATACCTAAGGCTTAATACCAGTCTTTGCCACATGCTCCTTTTATGGTGATTGAAATGTCTACTTGAAGTTGCCAAAATGATTTCGTTCCTATAACGAGTAACGAAGTGTGGTTCGAGTGCTTTATAGTGTTGATATATAGAAACATATACAGAACGTCCAAATGCCCAATTTCGTCGCCGGATATTGTCTACCGTCTGAACATGAGTCCATTGACCAAACAAGTGTATAAAGATGTCTAAATTGACCTTACTTGTTAGTGCCCATGTTGAAAGAAAAACATGGGACAAAACCTTGTTATATATTTTTAAATAAAATTACCTCGTACTTGATTGTACAAATTGATGTCAGCCTTGTTACATATGCATTCATTACTTTCATTTATTTCATATGGTTTAGTCATTTAAAACGAGATTATATAATTCTGAATTTAACCATTAAGTTTACTTCTACATTCACCTACAGCTTGTGATGTACGTATATGCGCGTATTTACTGAACTAAGAATATCGAACGAAATGAACGCAGTAGTTATATAGCACTTCAAGGAGCTAACGCTTTAATATATTTCATAATTTTTAGAATAAAAGTTCTTATTCAATTAAGGAAAATATGGAAATTAAAGTCTGTAAATATTAAACTGTTATTTAAAAAAGATTCAATGATAAACAACTGAAAATATTTTGTACATAGAAAATTAATGTTAGGTAAATTATTACGTATCATTCACTTAAAAACGGAATACTGCAATCGAGGTCTAGACCAAGACTACCTAACGCACAAATGGCTTCGAGCAATATCTTTTGAATCCACAGGTACACGGTCAGTACACGAACTGTGAGTATCAGGGCAATAACTATTTGTCTAACTTAATTATGTTTTGGATCTGTACTTGTGCTCAAGATCGCCTTGGCGCAAACTCTAGGGTGCGCGAAGTATTTAGTAAGAACACCTGGCGTAATCGTATCGAAGGAAAAAGTGGTTGTCCAATTACCTCTTACCCAACCATAGTGATGGCCTGTAGCAGCGCTATCGATAGGTGGAAGATAATAAAAGCACCTTGGCATAGCTGCGCGGGCAACGGATAAGAAGGGCACGGATAAGAAGGATGAATGGTTCAGCACTTTGTATTCTGCTTACCCCGTTATAGCCAAAGCGCCCGCTTCATGGCCGGCCATCGCAAACGCATCCATCCATTCGATATCGAGAGCGATACCAAACAATCACTGCCGCCGGTGGTAAATTAAATTTCGTTTGAAAGTTGTCGGTGTTTTCTGTGGAGCTGCTGTTGATGTTGATGTTCTTACGCGATTAGTGCGGAAATGAGCGCCAGGTGGATAACAGCGATGAACTACAACTTTACTTATCATATTCCAAAATTTACTAAGTTTAGCTACTAGTATTTGTGGGAACGTGCGCTAGATGTAGAGCGTTCATTGAACCTCATGTTCGGGCCGTGCTTTAGCATTCAATACTTGTCACATTTGTCTCGCTTTAAATGTTGTGAAGTAGCCGGACAGCAAATTCCAGACCGGTAAGTTCTAAGTAGAAAGTTCCTCGTTGATGGCTTTCTTATTTTAGGTGAGGAATAGAAATGAATGGACATGATGTGTCATTATAGAAGCATAAACACCTAAGCATGTGTCTATTATAGCACTCTGTAATAGCAAGCTAGCAGTTGGTAGTGACTGTGTTCGAACCAGTGTTGTTGTTGTTTTGAGTCAAATGGCGGCACTTCCAGTAGTGCATTATAACTAGAACTGTTGAACAGAGACACCGTTAGTGCAGACAGAAGTTTAAAATAGAAAATTGTGCCATTTGTGAAATGGTAATAACACGGCTGCGAGGAATACCTTAAGTAACAAGTGTTTTCACGGCGACAACTGACAGGAAAATTCGTTAATAGCTATTAGTTTATTCTGACACCACATCTTCACGTATGTACATTCAGCCAGCAGTTTTGCATCGTTGTAAAATTCGAATTTATCCAAAAGTGATCATTTAGAAGATAGACTTTTAAATTCGAGTAAGTAATCTCGTGGTGATGATATACTACATGACAGGTTTGTGCGTTGAAAAATGTGCACCCTCTTATTATTTCGAGTTTCGTCATTCCTTTTTTTTTTTAATAAATATGATTTTGTAACAACTGGACAAACGTTTCCGCTCAGCGATTATTGATGTTAGATTAAACAGTACAGATGACAGAAAGGTTGAGATCATTTTAGTAAAAAAAATCTGCGAAAGCTGAAAATTATAACGGGCTTCGAAAAATGTATTTAATTTGCAAATTGTTCCGTCGTTCTGACGGCAAGCAGGAGCAAAGGCTGTCTTAAAGTTAGTTATAGCTGCCAAGTTTAGCAACGTAAAAAATGCGACATTAATGGAAGAAACGCTAAACGAGTATGTAGTGTTTAAAGCAGGCGAGTGCTGCTGTTAATTCAACGTTTATATGTACCAATGATATGCTAAGCATCGAACATTATACGAAAAGTTGACTGAGCTCTTTTCAAATTCATATAAGCTTCTCATGCACGTGAATCCCATTAGGTGCATTTGGTGGTGATCGCCTGATCCGTATAAATCTATATGGCCGTTGTTTTTATCCGGAAATAAATAAGTGAGTAGTGAATAATAGCCTGGGGGTGCCCTCGATCGTCTTCTGTGGGGTACCTAAAGTTATGGACTCAACAGGAGGAATGGGAAGCATGCCTGGCAATGCTGGGGTTCCGCCAGGACAACCTCCTCCGGCAGGACCTCCCGGTGGTGGCAGTGGAGCTGCCTTGGCTGCACCCACGTCCGCGGATGCCTGTTTATCGATCGTACACAGCCTTATGTGCCATCGACAGGGTGGAGAAAGTGAATCGTTCGCAAAAAGGTAAGAAAGCTTGCGATGGTATGTAAATTTATGGAACCGAATATTCTCCGAGAACACTTATAGGGTATAGTTAAGACCTGAGGATTAGAGAAACATATATGGTTTTTTAGCATGTACTATATAAAAAGCAGAGAAGGAGAACTTTTTGAAGATCCATCGGGAGATTCTATTGGAAATGACGCTGAATTTACACGTACTGAGTTTATAACAAAAAAAAAATCAGCGATTGTTTTATACTCACACGGTAAATAAACGGGCGAGTTTTATAATAGTTCTATTCACTCTTTGCTGCTCGCGACAGGGCTATTGAGTCACTTGTGAAAAAACTTAAGGAGAAACGAGATGAGCTTGACTCGCTGATCGCAGCAATAACTACAAATGGAGCACATCCCTCCAAGTGCGTTACGATACAACGAACCCTTGACGGAAGACTGCAGGTCGCAGGACGAAAAGGATTCCCTCATGCCGTGTACGCTCGAATATGGCGTTGGCCTGATCTACACAAAAATGAACTCAAACACCTGAAATGCTGTCAGTACGCTTTTGACCTAAAAGCTGACTGGGTGTGCGTTAATCCTTACCATTATGAAAGGGTAAGCATGCATCCACGATAATTAATTTTTTATATCACGTGTAATACGGGAAAATTAACTCGTGCATTATAAATAATGAGTTATGAAAATATAGCTGGACTGCTTTATCGTATCACCTGTCATCTGAATTGCTATCGTTAATAGTAGGATGCTGTTTTGTAAGCCTCCCTTATATAGTGTAAGCTCTTCATAAGCAATAGCATCGTACCACAGTTATCACGGTGTTTTCTTACAGCAGGTTTCAGCTGGTCTGGACCTCTCTTCGTTGTCACTACAAGCATCATCAGCAGGTCCATCAGAGTCGGCCGTTTTAGGACATGGCGGACATCATGACGAGGAACTGGTGAAGAACGAGTGGGACATGGGGGTGCCAGGCGGATACATGTCTGGGCAGAGTGGACGGCAACAGCAACCCCAACAAAATCCATTCTACGTTCAGGTTGGTTTACTAGCCATTACTATTGATAGTTGTTGGGCAAAAAGTTTCGCGTAAGTCGCTTTTGACCTAGAAATATTGTGAGTGATCTGGCAAATAATTTCAGATGTTTTGATCAATTATAAATTCGCCTATTGGCCTCTCAAGAATCCGTTATCCACGTTCGAATGTATGCTTTAAGGTTTGCGTGGAAAACAGTACTTATATTGTTTGACAATGCAAGCCACGATGATTCTTGATGAATTGTTTTATAAATGAGTTTTATAATAAGAACGTTGTTGGCGACTGTTGGATAATTCTTCAATGACTAAACTCCAATAATCGGGCTAACTAGATGGCAGCTTTAGGAAACACTAGAACTCTATACTCTAAGATAATTTTTAAGCGTAAATATGTCGATGTTATGTATTACAGTCTGGCCGTCCAGGTTCCTCAACATCTAGCCACAGTAGTTGGGGTACTTCGCAAGGCACACCTTCCAGCGGCAGTACATTACAGTATACAAGCGGAGATCAACTGGGTCAGGCAGCGTCTCAACAACAACAACATCAACCAACTCATTACTGGCATCAGCAGGTCGGTGTTGTTTGTCTCATTATGGCGGAAAAATCGATTGTTGAGAAGTTGTTAATTTAAGTACAGCTTTATGCCAAAGGCAGAAATCTTAATATTAGTTGTTGATCTGATTAGTTTTGACAATGGTTATTTTCAGACCGGTCAAACTACTCCGACCGTTCTCTTGAGTTCGCAACCCCCGCCTGAGTTCTGGTGCAGCATCGCGTACTTTGAGCTAGACCAACAGGTATGCAAGTAAGACGCTTCAAACCTTTATTTGAAAAACAATAGGCATACGAAATACTCTCAACACATGTGAACCGCGTCATTTGCTTGAATTGATACGGCTTGTTTTCTAGGTCGGCGAAACTTTCAAAACCCCATCATCATCTCGGCATGTTCTTGTCGACGGTTTTGTTGACCCTTCCGGAGGATCGAGGTTCTGTCTCGGGGCCCTGTCCAATGTTCATCGGTATGCAATGCATTAAAAAAAAAGAGTAATAGTAGCTTTCTTATGATATGGACATGCAGTGTTGAAACTCTTAGTCCTACTATCTCAATCCTTACTACATGCTATTTTTTCATCAAGCAACGAGCTATGCTTTATCAGGCAATTTATGTACATGGTTAATTGTACTTCAGAACTGAAGCATCCGAACGTGCTCGAATTCATATTGGCAAAGGAGTTCAACTTGATGTGAAAGGAGAGGGTGACGTCTTCTTGAGGTAATATACATTTCCCCTTGGAGTGCTGCTTGCCGAAATACGCGCTTCATAGAATATTTTAGAAAATCCTGTTGTAACCTGCATCGATATACATAGACGGATGATACCTGAAGGAGTGCAAAAAAAGTATTGGAAGTTTAGCTAAGTGGTAGGGCTTATATATAATTCAGCTTTAATTATTGTCATCAAAGCAGATAAATGGCGCTGTGTATGGAAGTACCACTGTTTTAAATTACCCCGTCATCTAATATATATATAATAGGTGTCTGTCAGAACATTCGGTGTTCGTACAAAGCTTTTTCCTCGATCGGGAGGCTGGACGCCAGCCGGGCGATGCCGTCCATAAAATTTATCCTGGAGCCTGCATTAAGGTAAGAAGCCTTTTTTATTTCAGTTTCTTTATAACAGTAAAGCTTCTTTTTTTTTAACTAAAATATTACGATTTCGTATGTATTATGGTATTATCCATAGAACTTCAGGACGACTACATTTTTGAAGTATTATATCAGAACTCTATATCATGTCATATAATGTGGTGCATAATATATCTGTATTTCTCGTTGTTATTTATATCGAAACAGTTGAACATGGGCTGACATGTCAGGCGTGAGTTGACTCACTGTTGTAAGAATTTCCAGTCAACACTTCATCATATGTCCTCTGTATTCTGTCGGAATCTTTGCAGGTATTTGATCTTGCGCAATGTCACACGCAGATGCGATGCAAGGCACAAAGCGCTCAGGCAGCGGCGGCAGCGCAAGCGGCCGCAGTTGTTGGCCATATAGGAGGAACTGGAGCGTCAGGTGCAGTTGGAACTGGCCTAACCCCAGCCATTTCACTGTCAGCTGCTGTTGGCGTCGGCGTTGATGACCTTCGACGTCTCTGCATCCTTCGACTGAGCTTTGTTAAAGGCTGGGGGCCCGACTATCCTCGTTCGTCAATCAAAGAAACACCTTGTTGGCTTGAGATACATCTTCATAGGGCATTACAGCTGCTTGACGAAGTCCTTCACAGTATTCCTCAGCAGCAGCCTCCGCCGCCACCACCAACCCAATCGTCCGTTGAATAAACGAAGTCATTAAACAAAAACGGGTTATAATACAACTAAGGGCAATAGTAGTATTATTATTAAACTGTGAAATATAATTAGTGAACAAGAGGACTAGACGACAGTAAAAAGCGCTAAAGTACAAATTCATTACTGTAACATGTAATGTCCTGTAACATCTGTAGGGCTTATTTTGTTAGGTTTTATTCAAGAAAGCTTCTAGAGAGTTTCATGCTGGTATATGCAAATGTATGCCCCAACTTTTGGGTTTATATCTTACTTTAATTGAGCTTCTAAGTGTAATAAATTGCAAATAGTTCATAATACTGCCCAGGTGAGCTGATCAACCGTTTTGAGCTTAAAGACCAGTCAACGCCATGCCTTTTACATACGTCAAAGTGCTTCTGTTTCAGCTTTTTCTACGGTTTTACATCAATATAAATATAATTACAGTATCTGCAAAGAAAACATTTAAATAATGGGAAAAGTGTTTCAAGAAGCTAAGTATTGTACTTTTGGTACTGTTGTGAATTCTACTTTTTAGAAAATGCTGGGATCTATGGGAGATATAGTGGGAACCGAAAATACATGCATGGTTGAGTCTCATGTTATGTTGATTATATCGGATCAAGTATATCGGAATCGGATCAAGTATTTAACATAATGACATCCTGCGAGCAGCAAAGGATGCTTTCAAAAGTGGTAGACTTGTTCATTTAATCTCCAGTACTACTCTGGTATGCATATCATAAAAATCAGACATCGATATAAAATATAATTATTGATAGGCTTTTGTCCAACTCAAGTATCGAAAATTAACTTATTTTACGATAAAATAACAATATATTCATTATGAAAAACAATCAGAATAGGATATATTTTCATCAATTCAAAAAACTGGTTGTGCTGTTAGCAGCAATGCCATTCTATGCTATTAAAATTATTTCGACACGTTTTTATTTTGATGATTGTTATCACCAGCCTTCTTATTTAAGAGTATGTTTAAATTATTTAAAATTTTCATATAACTATCAAATGTACTCTTGTGATGTTAAATATAAGAAGTGGAACAAATAGGGCAATTTTGTTCTCGATCCACTAAAAACATATAGTGAACATATAGATATACCCACACACATACTTGCATGCCTTACAAAATTAATTGTTAATTACTGTGTATAGGAAATGTATCAATAAACTGTAGAATTTCGGAACTGAAAATTTTAGCCTGTCCATTGTGACAATCAAGCTTAGATATATATGCTTATTACACAAGCTGTGTTGCTGATAGGAAAAACAGCCGTATTGACGGCACCAGTAGCAAAATACTGCTCAAATATGAACCCTCTAATGATCGTCTGCGACTCTGGACAAGGGCTGATTAACTGAAGTCGTCGCAATTTGCATAGTATATCTATTTTCATTTATAGAGGAAATAATGTGGTCGTATGATGTGCTGTTATACGTAATACTTCAACATTAATATATGTATACGGAAAACGGAAGGAAACTTAAGATTGTGCAGAGCATGCTATGGTTTCGCCATGTTCACCGTTTACGTGGTGTTATAGATACGTACGGAGAATATACTATGTATAATCTTGTATTTAGCTACTCTTTTTCACGTTTAGAATCTTACTTAACGATGTTCCAGTTTAGTGTCATTTATTATAATAAAATAAATAAATAAAGAATTAGTGCATTCTTTTCTAGATACTAATTCCTCTAGTACGGTATATATACAGTGTAGACTCTCGGAGTGAAAAAAAAACATCCAACATATTTTTTTCACAAATAGCAACAACAGCGGTCTATTTTACCACTTTGCGGTTGACATTTTCATATTTTTATTTTCGTAGCTTTACAGCCGTAGTTTTCGTAGTTTTTTTTTCTTAAGAAACAAAAGGACAAGAAGCACCTTATCATAGGCTCACCTCCGAAGTTTTCGATGAATGTTTCATTGCTCTCATTTCCTGAAATCGCTTTATTTCTACAGGCTCCTTGTTAAGTCCTTGATGTGTTTTTCTTATCCTTAAAATTCCATCGCCCCTCTATAAATCCAAATCGAAAATTCTTAGCCCCATCGAAATTCGTTCGGGCCATTAAATTCGCTAATGCTGGTATTTTTGTTGTTGCTATTCCTCCTCTAAATTGAACGTCATCGTTGTTTTACGCTCCTTTTTGTTATTTTCCTTGCCATGTTGCTTTTTGTCATCGTACGTTGTTCATTACGCCTCCATACGTTTACTGCAGTTGTTTAGTTTATCTTTTTTAATGTATTATTTATTATCTGATCAACATCATCATCGTCGTCGTCATAATTATCATAAACATCATCGTTTGAATCCGCCACAATTGAACGTTTGAAAATTCCTTCTCACCCTCCACGAGACTCGACTCCCTCTGGTCATATTTATATTTGAACAAAATACCCACACTGGAATTAATTTGCAACTTGCTCCGATCGGTAAAGGCTCACTAACTCAATCAAAAAACGGAAGCCTGTTTGTATGCAAGTTGATTTAGTGCATTTTTAAGTGTGGCCACATTGTGTTAAATCTGCACCTTATTTTCGCTCGATGCTCGTCATTTGCGTCTTTGGGAACGAACGGGTTAAGAGCTGACGGGTCGCCCCGCCACCGAGGGTAGGGAAGTATATAGGTTACCTGTGGCTGTTTATAACTCTACTCTTCCTTCTGTTTCTGTTGCTGCTGCTGCTGTTGTTTTCAAAAATGACAACGTCAACAACACTAACGACATTCGATTTCGAGGAGGATGCCACGACGGACAATGCTGGGGTAATAATGCTTTTGTTACTATCATGGGAAACCATGATCGTGCGCGACGTTGTATGGTGTTCTCTTTTTGTTGGCCAACGCCAACTTGCCAACTTTTGTGGTTCAGTTGCTGTGTTGATCGTTTCGATGATTATCATCATCACCGTTACTTTTATAACCGCCTGGTTCATAGTTGTGCTTTGTTTTTTAATGATAATAGCAATAATAATAAGAATATATGTCGTCTTGTTCTTGTTAGAAGCATCATTAGTATTCTTATTATTATTATCATATTTTTCTCTTTTTGTCTCTCTCTCTTTCTCTCTCTTCATTTCGTTATTTACAGCAGTCGACGGTTGCGTGATCTTCATCTACTTCGCCCTCGCTTTCGCATGGGGCACCATCAGCGTCGTCTAGATCGGAAAATTTATTCCTGCTAGTCACCACCTGGAAAAAATGCCAAGGCAGGGGAGTAAATTAAAGTTTTTTTAAAGAGGTAGAGATTTGTTATCTTTCTCCATTTTGTTTGTAGCTAGCTTATAAGAGCTGTTGCATTAGCACATGCTAATTAAAACATTTTTGAAGACCTACAAAGATTGACCAACACGCTTATCTCGTTCCGGAACTATATATATATATATGTAAGAGCACGCCGTTTGGGAAACTTACGATGGTTTCATTTTCGTTTGGCTGCTGTGGGGCTGCCACTCTTCTATCGGCACGAGCCTTCCGGTCGCGTTCTCGCTTTTCTTTTTCTTCGCGAGATTCATCACGCCACGATCTCTCTTGTCTGGGTTGCTGATAGGAACGTGGAGTGGGCTCGTTGTTATTCTCGTGGTTTACGTACTGAACTTGTGCAAGTCTCTCTTTTTCGCGTTCTTCCTCTTCTTTGGCAGCCTCCTTTGCTTGGGCAGCGAGTTTTGCCTCGATCTCTCGCTCTCGGGCGGCCGTATCGACCGGCTTGGCAGCTCCAAAGATGTCGGCATTCTTGGGCTTATCAATCTTTGGTCGAGGCGGTTCGGGAGCCGGCTCGTCTGCTTTAATCGGAATCACCTAGACGTGGCATTTGTAGTCGACAGAATGAATCTAATGGTTATGTTTAAATGTTTGTATGAAAGTAAAATATAACATAAATATCATTAATGAGAAAACAGGGATACAAAAAGACACTTCAGTTCAAAGCAATTTTACATTCGATTGAACTATAATCAATACGCTTTCTTAATAAGTGTAAGGTCCTTGTAATTTTGTCCGAGGTCATCACAAATTTTTGTCGCTAATTAGTTCATTGCGTGAACTTATATAATAATAAAAACTGCCCTACGTTTTCAAACAGCACTATATTATGATGGAGTTGAAAAGACACTCAGTTAACAAGTGCTTATCGCATACCTTAATGGGCTCGACGGGCTTCGTTCTCGGAGCTAAATTCAACTTCGGTCTTTCAAGTGGTCCTCCCGAATCATCTCCACGGTAGTCCCTCGAGTCTCGTGGCGGTTCGTAGCGACCGCCGAATCCACCACGATCACGATTGTCCCGTTGTTCAAAACCACCTCGGCCTTCGCTCGACCTCCAGTCGCGACTCATCTCACGATCCCTGTCACCAAAGCCCCCGCGATCCCTGTCGCCATAACGGTCACCATACCGATCACCAGCCCTCGAGTAGCCTCTGCTGTCTTCATAACCGCGACTCATCGGGGGATCTTCTCTGCGGGAGGCTCGCCAATCGGTGCCCAGGTCCCTTTCGGGTCTATCATTACGATCGCTTCGAAGGCCAAAGCCTGTCCGGTCTCTGATGCCAAACGGACCTTTGTAATCTTCGTACTCGCTTGCCAAGCCAATTTTAATTGGCCTGTTTCTCAACTGATCCCCATCGAAGCCGAGCGCTTCAACGAGCGAACGACGGTCCTCGAACTCGGCGTAGCCATAACCCCTTGGTCGTTTGGCGCTGTCGGTGACGAGACGAATCGATGATATCTTTAACAGAAACAGGAAAATTAAAGGAAACGTAAGGTTCTGGGAAATAAAAAGATCTCAGCTAAATGAATGTATGAAGTCCAATGATTGTAAAGTCTTATTATCGAAATCAGTGGAAAACTTTCTGATGAAATACGAGGTGGGTTCGGTTACCTTTAGTTCATGAAAAAAATTTGCAATTTCCTCTTCGCCGATATCAAATGGAAGGTTTCCGAGGTAAGCAGTATATGGTGGCTCCGTTGGGACCTTTGAGTCGTCAACCCGACCTCCTCGGGAAGACATCGGAGCTGTGGGAAGAACCATCTCGTGGATCGTTTGTGCTAATGAGATAAACACAAGGTTAGCGGTATAAAAACCTTAAGTCGTTTGCTAAATCATTATGAGGGACTTCTGTATAAAATTAAGTTCATCAAATGCGCCCCAAATGCTCCCACATTGCAAACTTATTTCGCTTGAAATGATCAGAAAAATCGATCAAGACAAAATTAGACTTTATAGAACCGATAGAGTGGATCAATGCTTACTGTAATTGTTTTCGTCGGACCAGTCAATTTTCTTTTGGACTAGCGTATACCCAGCTTGCACCGGCTTTCCACCTTCCGAAAGAAAATCGGTCAGCTCCATTGTACGCCCCTTCATTTTCTTTTTACCTGGAGGGATAATGTAGGTAAAAAAGAACCTTTAATAGAGATTTGAAACATACTGAAAACGTTTCTTAACAACTCACCAAGTATTCTGCCTTTAGCTTTACTGAATGCTTCAAACTATCGTCTTTTTCAGAAATGGAAGTTTCAATACATGCATAATTCGTTCACAACTGTGTATGAAGAAAATAATAATGGCCAACCAATAGCGGAACATAATTTCTTTCCTAGCATTTCATCTTTCGGGTGCAACTGGAGAGTAAATACGATTCCAATAAAGGAACCCCAATTCGGTCGAGTTTTAAATCACAATTATTGGAACATGTTGTCGTTATGCAGAATACGTGTATGTGCATTTCGCATGCAAAAATTATGTTTTGAAATTATAGACAAGCAATTTTCGATCCGAGGAACGATGCTTAAAAAGCATCGTTAGCACTACAATCGTATTAGAAGTTTCACGCATCATTCAGCCCAGCTTAAGATGTATTGCCGCCTCCCTCCTTTCTTTAAGTGCGATCAGCCCCGAATACTGTGAGACAACGACGATCACTACCGGAAATTCAGTGACTTTATGAATTTAGTCCCAACTCAAACAATCGTAGATTAACTAGTAAAAACCAAAAACAAGTCAAAGCAAAAAACAAGTGTGACAAAATTATTCTCCGCATTTCGCAAGGTGTTACGCCTAGTATGCAACTATACTTAGGTCATTTGAAATTATTGTATCGGTGTTTGGCTAATGGAGACTAAGCAGGATTTTTCTTGCCTGCTTTTTTTATAATTAGCTATACGTAACCGTATACAGGCGCAATTTTGAAGATTAAGTGTGGTTTGTTAGATCCGAATTAAAATCTTAACGTTTCAAAAGAAAGAACACCCTGGTGGTGATTCCTAAACTATGTACAGTAAACTCTTAGTGGTAACCAATATGATATAAAGAGCAAATTGTCACAAATGTTTATGCAAACTCTACAGCTGTACACAAATATATACTTCCTTTTTCTCTTTACCTCTTCGAACATTTATGGATATTCGGCCTATAACAGATATTTCTAGGCACATACTTTTCTAATTAGTACACAAGTATGACATTGTTAATTTTAATACATTAGCAATGTCTACCATTATTTTACCTTTATAGTTAAAATGAATAATACCACCGAAATACTGACCGAAGCGCTCGGGTAGACTCGCTCTTATTTTTTCGTTAATTCCAACGATATTATTAACACAGTGCATTGTAACTATACCGTAATGATGTAATTCTTATTTGCTTCCATAATGTATCCGACAGAATAACCAGTCTTTTTCTACCAGGCGTCTGCCGGTTGCCTTTATTTTCTGAAACCACCACAGCTGCATGGTCACCCCCACCAATCCCCCTCATGGAAGCAACAGCGAGCAACAATGACAAAGACGGTTGTAGCGCCCCACGAGCACATACAGCGACCTTGATGTGTTCTTGGTGATGGTTGCCTTGCGCTTTTATCGTTTAATTGACGGCTGATAGACAAAGGAAAAGGATCAGCTTAATCCATAGCTGTCAACAACAACGGCACAATGGACTGTGGCACACGCCGCTAAGATCACATTTTCATTATCGAGCCTCGAACGCTGAACTGTTAAAGATTATGACCCCAAAGGCCGCGGCTCCTGCAGCTACAGCTACTGTCTTTATTTAAGGTACCCTCATAAGGTACACGCAGATCGACATGGTGATCCGTGTACGTGAATACAGATCATGCACGGCAGCAACAGCATACAATTCGAGTGCTGATAGAAGCTTATTCAGAAAATATACGTACATGCGCAGCGACATTGGAGTCCGTAAGAAGTCGAGTTGTTTTACAATATGGTATTTATAGACGATCCAACATATAAGGCTGGCTAATCTTCTTGTTTATGTTGCCTTAGCGCGGTGAGTAATTGTTCTAGTCCTTCGATTTGCTTAACCCAAATAACGCCTATGAGTTGATAGCGATCAGGTGTAATATCAATGCTTACAGCTTTAACGCGTATACTGTCGCAAAGACTCAGAATTGGCTATTCATTAGGCGCGCCCCTTGATATTAAATTACGTAAAATTAGCTCATGGGTGATTACGCTTAATAATCAAGTAATAGAACAGGGTTGCCAGAAACTATATCAACAGGGAACATATGAACCTGGTTAATAACATATGTTCATGAATTCTAAATAGATACAGTTATATATTTATAATTATTTCAGAATGCGGCCGTAGGTGTCAGTCTATTATCTTTCACCATCATGACCTTAAAGACGTTTTCAAAACAACCCCTCCTCGCATAAGACTATCTGCAATGTTATTTGTGAATGACGTAATGGAGTGTAGCACAATTGGCATCAAACGTTGAAAAGAAAACGGGTCAAACGAACGCTAATGTTTCGATAGAATCTCTTGCTAGTGAGCAACCTGTTTTTGAACTGATAGCAAACATCAGAATTACATACAAATACGAAATAAGCTACTATGGTTTATTAACATCTCGAAAATGTTAAATTCAAAATCTAGTGGTCAATTTTGCAAGTTTTATAAATACTTGCAAGGAGTGAGCAGGAGTGAGCATTAGGCACACACACAGACACTCATATATATATATATATATATGTATATATATTTTTTAAAAACATTTGTCGCCAATTTTGACGTTGGAAAGCCTCATGAGATTTTCTCGGTATATTATTGAAAAACCTCAACACGCGCTCAGGCCTCATTCACAGGCCGAAATTGACACTGGTCACTTGCCCAAAATAACGAGTTGCCGGCTAAGTCACCATATGTCTCTGTGAGAAGACCAGAACAAATAAAAACGGACAGACGCAAAAGAGCTTATTTCTTGTAAACAGCTCCTTCTGTCCACTGGCCAAGCAACAAAAAGTGGAAATTCGGCCGCGTTACATTAAATCGACATCGCCATGTACAGTAGGAAAGGGATATATAGCAAGCCACACATACACACATTGTGTTCGTTATTGCTGCTTCCTATCCAGCACATGACTGTGCAAATAGCAAAGCAAAAAAGCCATCCGTCATGGAGGAACAGCGTTAGGAAGACTCCATTTCTCAGGTAAATCAATCATTCTGCCTACCATGTACCTAGATAGAGAGCGTACAGGCAGATAAAGAGAAATAGGCAACGCATACCAGCCTTAACAAGTTTTGCCTTTTCTGAAGCACCGCCCCTTTATATGCCCTCTAGGCTATTTGGTAAAACACGGCCGATAGAACGAAAATATGTCTTCCTTAACGGAACAGCCCAACATCTTCGAAAAGAGGAAAATCGAATGCCATTAAGAAAACGCGGGCGACTCGTCAGCCAACAATGGGCAGGTGACTTTGCACCACCTATAGAATAGGGCAAGTGTATCAGTGTCGCGCCCGTGACTCGAAATTGTTTCGCACACTGTAGCCAAAACAGCACAGCAATCAGATCGAACGCAATGACGGAGTTTCTGACACAAACTCGTCAGCCGATGCATAACTAAGCTCGTACGGTTGACAGTCAAGTCTGACCCGCCAGAACGGGGGGCCGGTGTGCCAAGCAAACCGCCATAGCTGCAACGTATGTCGTGCCCCGTGGCGGGTCGTTTGCCGATTGAGACTGCGTGTGAGTGTGTGTCGGCTTGCCGTCTTCGAAATTTCGGCACAACGCAAGGGAAGCATGTCATACATCTCCGGCGTCAACTTCAGCTATGTCGTAAACTTGAACTGAACAGCATTTAATAGCACACATTATTATATTAGTACTCACTCATTTTGTCGCGATTTCTTCGCAATTTCACAGAAATCGAAAGAATGGAACAGCACCGCTTTGATTGCAGCCCCGTGGACCACGTTAACGCATCCAACACCGACCTCTTCCGCGTTCGATTTTCCTAATCACGAAATGTATCATTCTCAGTTGCAGGTTTCTAGCGATGCAAGGGTCGCCGTAGACAAGGATTGATTGTCACAAATAATACAATAAACAGGACACTATTTGCTGCCGAAACGAAATAAAGCAAAGTGATGCTTCGTCCAACTACACTAGCAAAACAGTTGGCGCCATAATTTAAATACACAAATGGCGCGACCATCGGAGAGAGGGCGTACCCATCCGAGTGTCAGAAAAGATGAAAGAGAGGAGTCACCGGAAACTATATTCCCCAAAAGTATTTCCCAAGAGAGATGAGCACATTATGACTGTTTGGCTTTCGTTGATGTTGATTGTGTGGAATTGCTACGAGGTTACAAAAGAGTAGGACTCCGACCTATGAGTTAAGTCTTCTTCGGTGGGTCTTCAGTCTAAGCTCAGATATGCATTCAAACACAAATTCATCCTTATTTGACGACAGGTACTTGATCGACGTAATTCAATTTTACGATCAATCCTCTAATGAGTCACTGATGGCAAGACTGAATTAACGACTAAGGCATTTTTGCATTTTGATCTACAAGCATTAAAGTATTATCTTTCACTGCTCCAGGTCACTATATATGTATATACATATATGCCATTTAAAAGTATCAACTAAATAGATTTATTGATATTGTCCAAATGCTAAAAAATATATATTACAGGACACGGTTTTTCTTTTAAATAATACGTACCTGTATTTAGGGATAATCTGTCTCTACATAAAGCCTACCTATTATATAGGTAGCAAAATCTTTAAAACTTTATCTTGTTGTTATTAGAAGCGGCAATAAAATAACCAATGAAAATTGCCACTCGAGTGTTTTTCTTTTTTTTATATTTAACGGGATCGCGGCCACAGTATATGATTTATTTAGCATGTGGATTAGGTATTGAAGAGAACATACAATTTTTAACAGTTTCTATCTATAAGAATAATAACAATTCCATAGAAAGTGTACTTTTATATTTGTTCGAATATTTACTCTTTTCAAACGAAATGTTACTTCGCTCCTTGACAAAATTTAAAGACTCATGTTTTAATATATTTTAGCCTTTAAGAAACATGAACTTAAACTAATTGGTTCGAAGCAATTAGGCTAAATATAATAAAATGGTTCTAATCTAGCTTAACCTAGCTGAAGTTAAAGGTCAATTACGATGATTTTGTTTACTGTTCTGTCGTAAAGAAACTTGCTCTTTTTCAAGCCGTAATATTATCTCAAAAATCGTCTTATTATCATCGAAATTACTGTTGTTTTTTATATTCCATTGTTACGGTATTCAATTTGTAGTGCATGTAGTCTGAGGTAATAATAATATGGACATGTCCTATGCCCTCTTGCAGTATAAACTTACTCATTCCGATCCTTAGGCCAAATATATTAATATATTAGTAGTAGCACTATCATAGGGTAAAGAGATCGCCACTGCTAAAAGTTGAAAACGAAGTTTTTTAGAGGTGTGATATTAACCCGTCGATCTATCAACTAAAATAGCTCTCATTTAATGCCGCATGTTGCCTTAGGCCCCATCTATTGATTTTTGTAATATCAAGGAACCAAACAAATAACGCAAACTTCAGACTGCGCCTCTACTGGTGATGGAAATCGGTTTTATATTGAAAAAACTCAGTCGACATAGCCCGAAAATTTTCGACCTAGGGGCATTCAAGTGCCAATGTAGTGCGATGACGTCAGATATGTTCAGACGCGGCTTTAGCAAACTCTGCTCGAAGAACTTTATTCGTTTCAGCGGGTGAAGTAATGAAAAAAAAAATATGAAGTAATCTGATTAGATGCAAAACTGGCCTCTGGATTATTCCACTAAAGCTAAAACTTGGTTTGTATCGAGATTGCTTCGAGAGTACATGGTTAGTCTGATTAGATACAACGAAGTCAGTGTTCTTCCGACTATTCCTTAGCGTTCTTATATCGTGCATTAAAAACGTTCACATCAAAAGATACCTCTGTAGTATCAATGTCGAGTTGGTAGAAGCAAGAAATACGTCAGATCTCGCCAGGAGAGTTGTCTTAGTCAGCAGCAAAAAGTCCTGATGATGATAAGGTTTATCACGTACGAAACTGACCTTAATAGGGGGCTGACAAAACTCCTTTGGTTGATTCTTGGCAATCTGGTTCTGCACGTGCAATTGTTCAGGCCATTCTAACTGTATTCGCTCCTTTTTAAAAGTGAGAATAGAGCATATTGACCATTCTGAAGCCAGCAGATCGCTGCGCTGGAATATCTGCTGCTCACAACCTCGTTTTCGTTTTTTTTTTTTACTATATGCTCTATTATTCATTATGCACATTATCACCGAGATTTTGTTTATCGTGCATAGTTGGGATAGCTTTTGCTATCAAAACGCGCCTGACTTATCATTCAAGTTGAATAAGCTGACGATGTTTTTACAGTAACTCTGTCGTTTACCACGCTGGGCTACTGTTTACAATAAATGGCTATACGTTTTTGCCTGTCGCATGTAGGAAAAACTACTGGCAGGTAGCAAGATTAGATACGAATTATTTCTGGAGATCACACTAGGCAAAGAACTAATAATAATTGCATGTTAAAATGTGATAGTCTTAAGAATTATCTGTTGTCTCAAATGGACGATGCAAGTTTTTCAAGAGAGAAGCATGATTCTCTACACGATTTCGACGAATCGTAGTCGTCACTTGATACAGTTTCACTCAGTTGCCCGAAACGTCTGTGTGGTTAGACTTCGAAAGGCAAATTGTTCAGGCACTGAGGTAGTGTTTAGTCCTCAGCAGGCCTCAATGTAGCTTGCGGGTCGTCGTAATCCTTTCATTTTGTTGCAGTATTTTTCTCGAGCTCTTGAACTAAGTACAACTAGTTATACTTCGCGACCCGTTTCATGTAATCAACAATCATATTCTCAATAAAAATGTCGACATAGCCCAAACATCTTCGACCTGTTCAAGGTTTACCCACGCTGGTTATTTCACATATTCAAACTAACCAGTGGTTTACGAGATGTCGATAAACCGTGACAATTGACGCCTAGGGGCATTCAAGTGCCCATGTAGTGCGATGACGTCAGATATGTCCTACTCAAAAATAATACGAAACCAACTTATACACTATTTACTGTTTAGATTGAGTATTGCCTCTGCGTACTGTCTCACAGCGTCGAATGGATTTGATATACGCAATGACGAAAATCGAGTCACAAAAAGACAGATTTTTTACGTAGCGCTAACGATGTTTTAGGCGCCATCTATGACTAACGCGAAGAAAACTTTTTAAATTCCCTGTGTAGATCAAATAGAATCCTATTTATCTTTACTGATAGTAGAATTCCGTAATTCCATAATAGATATTGTGGGTACCATATGACTAAGCGTACCTTATATTTTTAATAATAACGTTGTATGCAACAACGCAACAATATATGTTCTCAGAAAGATGTTGAAGACGTCTTGATTTGATATACCTTTTTCAAAGCATAGGCTGCATTAACACATATGGCTGGCCACACTGTGTAACACTGGAAATTTAACCAACGCAGTTTTAGGCGCTAAGGAAATTTGAAACAGAATTATATAACGAAGCACAAAATCTGCTATTGAAAAATAATAGGTTCGTTTCATACACTGCACAAGGATGTTCGACCCTGTAAGTACCTCTGTTTCAATGTAGAGGTTTATAGCCCTTCTGATTTGGGAGTCTAGTTCATTTATCGGCCATATATGTTTAACTTCCTCTTTCTCGTTCCATAGGGCCTCGTGTATTAACGATCCTGACATAAATTAGAATCAGCTGAAGTAGCTCAAAAGAAACACTGTAGATGGTAATTTTTATTATAGGGACCGTTCCCCTTGAGTATTTGTACCCCAGCAGGTTTAGCAGAAAAACACGCCCATTTCTTACTATGCACTTATTTTACTAAACATGTGGTCTTTTTAAATATACTCTTGAACTGCAACTACTCAGGTTATATCCGTAGCGGTCGCTAGTAAATAGTGCGTGGATAAAGCGAGGTCTGCCTTCGGCGCCGAATGTATTGGAAGGAATTGAATTTATTGACTGCAGTCAGTGCAAAAGTTCTGTCAAGGTCCCCATATTTGAACAAAGACACAGGCAAAGCAATTTCGTTTAGGGCCGTAACTATCGGAAGCTGCCAAAGAGTGGGGGTGTTCCACAGAGCAGTCAGCCGGTGAGGTGTCTTCAAATCTTCTAAGAGTAGCTGCTTTTTTAGTTATTGTGCTTTTCGGTGAAAACGTCTTCTAAACGACAAAAGCAAGGCGCGGGGGTCCCGTTAGCACGGCAGTAAGCCTTGACAATAAAATCATTTCCGGTTTGTCCATTAGTACCGCTATCTGAAAAAACTATCTAACCGTTTCGGAGTGAAGAAAGACGAGTTGACGCAGGCCTGTGCCCTGTAATCCATCGTGGCCATAGCTAGAGCTACTAGTAGAAATATCCCGATACTGAGATTGGCCAGAGACCAGACCCCAAGGTCCACTTAGGACACAAAATCGGATCGGAATTTGACGTCCACCATTCAGTCCTCTGGGGAAGGTGAGATGTTTTGAGTAGACAAATTAAAGGTTGGTTAATACGAGATGACTACAGTCTACAGTTTTTTTTATAATAGAAATCAAATCATCAGACGAACAGCCGCTCGATCCGCTTTTTCGTATTGCGTAACCGCACACTCGAAGACGTAGGCAGCCGGGCCGTTTCGACAGTGCACAGATGGCTATTTGAAATAACTGCGTTGTGATTATAAGGAAAAAAAGTACGAGGACATTCTATTTAGGTCGTTCACTAATGTTAGCCGAATGTTATCGTTATAACGTTTATTTGGGAGTAAGCCTCATAATTTCGTGAAGAAAATTGAATATTAACTAACCTCTGACAGGTGGTCGACCACAAATTTTCTTTCAACAGTAATAATAACATTGGTCTATTACACTTGTAATACTGGTATGTATAAGCGCATTAAGAACAGGGACTTTATGGGCTTGGCGTTTTTTACAGCGTACCATTTTTTATATCAGAAGATAATCGCTATAATCAATCA